ATCTCCGTCAGTATCGTTACTGCCTAGACAATAAGGTTCTGCCCAGTCAGTAGCGTTACTGACTAAAACGACTAGACAGTTAGTTTACTGACTGAATTATGTTTTCATTTTTCGGCTTATTCCGCTTCAATGAGAATTGAAAGATATGTGGCCTGAACTTGTCTTGGTAAATGGTAAAGCGCGACATCCCCAGTCACAGGGAAGTGTAGAACGATCAAATGATGGCATAAATACATATAAGTATAAGTGACGCATATTTGAGAGAAACCTTACACTCTCCCTTACCACGAAGTGAGAGTTTAAACAATACTTGATATTTGGAAGCAATTTAAGTCTTATCAGAGTTTCTCGTTTCAACTGTACCCGACATTCTGCCGTTATTTACTCACAAAGAATGTTGTAAGAAGTAATGAATCCACATTGAACATTTAAAGTGAGAGTTCAGCAACTAAGAGATATTGTTAAGATATTGTTAAGATATTTTCTATACATTTGTACTTCATATCAAGGTATTATCTACACGTGTATCATCTGCATCGTGGGGAAATGTTTGATTGTGTTCCTCGTGTTACAAATGTTACACTGGCCAATGGTTTCAATGCCTTTACAGGGTGCATACTACGCCAAGCACTCTGAAGTTAGCCAATGTATAGCGGTGTGCCTTATATTTATGAACAAACATGTCTCACGTCACTGGCAAGACGCATGGCAGGGCAAATTCAAACTCGCGTAACAACCAAATTATTAAAGAACTGGCCTTAACACTTGGTGATATATCCCTTGGCAGCAATTATTTTCTTCAGACGACGTGGGATAGACAAATACAGGTTTCTGATATAGTTCACAGGTATGTTAAACCAAGATCTCTGGCAATTTCACTGTATTTTTGATGCTGTTGGAACTTCCCAGATATCAAATCTTTAACAGACCGGAATCGGCAGTCGCCTGCGTAAACAAGCAGACGACACAAAATGTAACATGACGTCACACGACTGTCACGTGCTGAAAGATCAGGGTTAAATTTAGTTTCCTGTTGACTTTCACGACCATAGATCGCCTGTGTCGGTGAAAAGGCAATTAAATTTCACTATTTGGAATTTGTTCATTAACTTTTGGCACACCACTGAAGCATAATTTCTTCTTTAACACATAGCTAACATGAGTCAAGAATAAAGAAGACACTGTAAAATGTTTTGCTTCAGATGAAGAGGAAAGGCAAGAGGCCATTTTACATTTTCTTCTGTAAATTCTTTGTACCAAAAGCATGGCAACAATCGTTGTGAACAGGTCCTAATGGTTAAATTGGTTGACGTTGCCCCTTTTAATTCTTTTCAGTACACCAGAATGGATAACTCAGAGAAATGGGACGATTATTTTTATTTATAACAGAGAATCTAACCAGGAACACGAACATGGCCTAACTTGATATTTTAACTTATGTTTGTCCAGTTTCCATTTATATCTGCTCTGGAAATATATTTACGTTACTCTGACGTTTTGACTATCAGTAATTCATAATTTGTTATAATTGTATTTCAACAAACGTTTCGTTTCAAACTCAGGTCCAACCCTGGAGTGGAACTCCAAGACAGCAAGCAGTTTGGTTACTATATCCGGATCTGTAATCACTAACACCAATCCGGATCCTCCTGAGCCAGACACCGGGTGCCGGATGCAGTCAGGGAGACATGCCCTAGTGTCACGGCCCCTGGTCGTCAGGAGATGTCGACGTGACATGTTCCACGGGAAGGTTTCATTTACCGTGAAACAGGTGAAAGAAGAGAAGAAGATGATGTTTGAAATAGCTCTGACTTCCACCCCAGTAGATGGTCCCTGCAGTCAAGACGCTGTACTGAGCGTGCATGGTGTCACATGCTCTAAGCAGAAGCACAACCCGTGACTCCGGGTCATGTACAATACCAAACTCATCACTGACATCCCTCTCTGCCAGAACCAGATTGGAGACTCACATGACTTGCACCTATGTTTCATACTGGACGGAACAAAGGGGAAAATCTACCTTGTTGATAACGAGTCTGTCAAAGTGATGTGCACTGTCAGTGATGCTGTGTTTGACAGACCACTGTGGGTGATGATGTGTGTGGATACACCCTCCAACTTAGACATCAGAGGAGAACTGATATCCGGCCAGGATATGGCTGTGTCTGATGGAATGTCTCGCCTCCTGTCACCACTCGATCCTCCATGTATATAACTATTATGTGTTCCACCAGCATGTTGTGCGTGCAATCCTGTGTCAATATATCCTGTATGTAGCAGTCAATGTACTTGCTTGGATAGGAAGAGGTTATCCTGAGATCAGCATGTGTTTCTTCAGGACGTTGTGACTTCAAATCGTTGGTGCATCCTGTACGCAGCTGTCTTGAATATGAATTGGTGTGTTATGCCAGAAAGTGCTAGATTTCTGACAGGATATAAGTGACCGTAGAGACTTAAATGATTAAATGGCTTTAAAGAAGGTGTAATGACATGAATTAATTGGATTGCGATATTTTCCTCGTGGAGCCCCTGGTAAAACAGGTCCTCAGGACCCTAACGTGTTCACCGTGGGTTGCGACCCAGTGCCACTGGAAGATGGGATTCTGGTGGTTGAGGGCGCTGGTTCTAAAAACACGTTCCTTTGCCCCATACTCCACTTCAACCCTTACGTCACTTAGATGGATGTTAGAATGGACCAGGTTCTGTCAATCGGATGGTCATGCCATACCTTATAATGGTATATGCCATATTTTAAATGATTTCATCAACGCTGTAATATTCATTTTGTCTGAAGGCAGTAGCTCATGAACAAACCGAATAAACCTGACACTTCTTCTTTTAGATTTCTTAGGTATTTATGTCTGTATTTCTGGAGTAAAAAATCCCTGTAGCTCTGATCCTGCTGGTTTCCATTTTCACAGACGGACCCAAGGATGACGGCAAAGTTGCCAGTGCCACAGCCATTGGATCCAAGACTGTGTCCTCAAGAATCCTCTGCAAATGTTCTATTTTCACTGTTGATGCCAAAGTTATCTTCACCGTTTTGGCCTACATTAAACAGCAGAATTTGACCTGGATGACATCTGAGAAACCTGTTTATGTGAATAGTGCTTCTGACAGTCAGTGCTTTTTGACAACATCTGCCTCTCAGACTATTAGTCATTCACCATCCGAAGTTGATCCAACAGCTATCGATGTTGAACACGCTGAAATGTCCAAATCTCAAAGAAAACGTCTAAAACGTAGAACATCAAAGAAATTCCAGTAGAGGTTCAAAATTCGTTTGAACCTTTGGACATGGAGGATACGCCATCTTCACAAAACCGTAATAAAGGTACACCCTCCTCTCGTACACGTGAGAGATCTCCGATAGAACCGCCATGAGTAACGCTCCAAATGTAGTACAGTGGATTTGCAGAGTACTTGGGAAGAATTTTAACAAAGTCCAGTTATTAACATAGGATTCAGTCTACAAGAAAAAATTCTTAAACATGATGATAAGTTTGAAATGCGTCAGTACAACTCGTACCACTATTTTTCACGTCCGGGTGATAAAGCAACAGGAGGTTCTTCCATTTTGGTTAGACAGGGCATCATTCACAGCACTGTTCCTCTTAAAACTAACCTTCAAGCTATCGCTGTCCCTCTGACTTTACAAGTCACGGTCACACTCTGTTCCTTGTACAGTGCCCCTTCCTCGACTCTTCAGCTACCAGAGCTTCAGGATTTATATTCCCAATTGCCTGGGCCCTGTATTATAATGGGTGATCTATACAGCCATAATCCTCTGTGGTGAAGCAATGATACCAACAATAAAGGAAACTCTTGAATATTTTGTTTCTAATAATGACATATATAACACAATTTCAATGTACAGTTTTTACGTAAAATACATTAGATGCACAAAGCAGAGTATGTAAATGTTGTAATAAGGGTTGCATAAAAAGTGAAGAACATATTTTCTTCACTAGTGGTCATCACCAGATTTTACGGGCGCATTACATGAAACAATGCGTGTAAGTTATTTAAATTTCGAAAAACGTGACTGAGTTTATACCATCAACTTCGTACATTATAACATAGGCCATATGGCTCACATTACTGAATAAAATATGTCTGTCTGTCATTTATCAGGGAAATAGACAGTGTTACCACCACCACACGCTGTACTGTGAACAGAATGCTTGATGCTGCTATCAAATTGCTTGATGCTATCCATTTGAACAAGAAATCAGTAACACATTTCAATGATGAACGTTGATATAAATGAAAAGGAAACTTTATCATTTGAAAACTTGGTTGTTATGGCAATAACTGCAATATGTTGGTTCACATAAATGTTCATTAGATGTCGATACCGAGCTTTCAAAACGACAGTGCATGAGCACTTTTGTTTAAAGATAATTTTCAACGAAATAACATTACATTTTATATGGCAAAAACGTCAGTGCGTGAGTATGGTTTTACGTAGCTTTTAGCAATATTCCATCCATGACCAGAAATGGGTTTCACACTTCATACCCGTGTTGGGAATCGAACCCGTGTCTTAAGCGTGATGCTTTAACCATTAGGCTACTCCACCGCCCCTGATAAATACCAATAACAAACATAGGAGATGTGGGAACCCGCATCTGATGCCTTAATTGGGATTCTGGAAACACTCTGGTCACAGGATATTCTAGTTGTTTTACTGTCCTTCGTTGACAGGATTTTATACTCTATCATTAATTATTGTTAATCTATATGTTATTTTAGTCACGATATGGCTGAAATATTGCCAAAGTGACTTTGAATTTTAACTCACTCACTCTGGTCACATACATAATGCTCTATACAAGTACAAAGGAAGAGAGAGCAAAAAGTGCGAGAAAATGAGATGACGTGAAAAATCCTCACTCAAAGTGTTACGTGATTGCTTCATGGTGATAGAAGCATAGACTTTGGCCATTTAATCACTGTAGCAGATAACCGCTGTGCAATATGTAGGTCACATGCCGAGAGAACGAATAAGTCAACTTGGGAACGCAAACGCGCATGTCACATATACTGGGCGACTCCCACCCTCACTCACGACAGCTCGCTTGGTAGCCATCCGATTTTTCTATCTGGTTCACTGAATGACTGGATATGGTGTATGCTGTATGCTGACACTTTGAACCATGTCTCAAGTAAGTTCGTCAGTATTGACGTATGACTGTATGAATAACTCAGCATATCGTTGTATGTGACCTGACGCTCACAGGTCAGATCTTTCACCTTACTGTGAGACTCGATATACTCAGGTCCCAGTGGCACAGTGAAGAAAGAGTTATTTGTTTAACCTAAATGGATATTTGTTTTGAATTACAAAAATACCCACTTCAGATTAAGTTTTAGCGTCAAACAAATGACCAACGAAACAAACAAAAGCATATACTGATATGTGACCTTGTTCCCTATAGACAGCTTGCCAGGGGCGGTAGGGTAGCCTAGTGGTTAAAGCGTTCGTCGTTACGCCGAAGACCCGCGTGCGATTCCCCTACATGGGTACAATGTGTGAAGCCCACTGTTCTCCGTGTTATAGATGGGTCACGTGATCTACCTTCAATTGTTGGTGATCTATAGCCTGTTTTATATTGTAATGTCCTAATTAGAATATACTTTAAGTCGCATGCTAGTTTTAAATCTCTAACTGTGATATTCTAGTTCTTTTACTGTCCTTCGTAGACAGGTAAGTACACTCTCTCAAAAAAGAAACGCAACCCCTGTTTTTTTTGGTAATGTTTATATCAATTTTAACTGGTTATTACATTTGTATTTTTAAAGATATTGCCATGAAATTTGACATGGTGAACCTTAGGTCAGCACGGTATAAGGTAACAGTTAATGCAGGTCAGTATCGAACTCTCAATTTACGCTAGGGGGCGTTGTCTTCAGTATCTCGTTGTAGAGCCACGAGCTCTAATCACAGCAGTGCACCTCCTCGGAACAGAACGAATCAGACGGCGGATGTTTTCCTGGGGGATTGCTCTCCACTCTTCCTGGAGTGCTGCGGCCAGTTCAACCAACGTGTGCGGTTGTGGTGTACGTGCACGAACACGACGATCCAGCTGGTCCCACAGATGTTCGATAGGATTGATGTCTGGCGATCTGAGGGCCACGGCATCACGTTGACGTTTGAATTCTGTAGGAATGCCACTGTTGCACGAGCTGTATGAGGGCGGGCATTGTCATGTTGAAACAACTCCCTCTGTTGGTCGATTATCGGCAGAAGATGTGGCTGTAAGACGTCATCAATGTACCGTTGTGCCGTCAAATTGCCACGAATGATGACCAAGTCTGACCGTTGGTTGTAAGACATGGCTCCCCATACCATGATGCTTCCCCCTCCAAATCTGTCGACCTGTCGAACGCAGTTCGGTGCAAAACGTTCATTTGCTCGTCTATAGACACGTTGTCTACCGTCACGTCGTTGAAGAAGAAAACGAGACTCGTCACTAAACCAGACTCTTCTCCAGTTTCTGAGGGTCCATCTCCTTACGTTAGTACACCACCTGAGACGTTGGCGTCGATGTTGGCGTTTCAAGAGCAAATTATGAGAGAAAAATTACAAACTACGCGTGCTTTTAAAACCCTCTACATGAACTGTGTTTTCAACGATTTGCACGTGCAACAGGCTTTTAGCATTTTGTACATGACAATTTCGCACTTTCTCAAATAACACGGATACAAAGGTCATCATGTGTGAAAATGGTTCCATTTGGGAGCTTATACTGATCAGATGGGAACGTATTAACAGTATTTTGAAGAAAATTCTAATTTACATTCACCATCTTTATTCTAGAAATGATGTCAGATATTTAGATAGGGGTTGCGTTTCTTTTTTGAGAGAGTGTATGTAAGCTTGTTTTTATTCATGTATACATTTACAAATTTACAACTATCATAGTCACGGTATGGCTGAACGCTCAAGTTAGGTATCGCATGTGAACGCTCAAGTTAGTAAACACTAACTTGAGCGTTCACATGCAATACCTTAGAAGGAACCAACATACTGAGGTGAACGTGACCCATCTATAGTGAGTGAATGAGGTAAAATTTAAAGTCACATCAACTAACATATCTTTACAGAAACGAAAGACTCAACACACAAGGTTTGGGTGGTGTATTAAAAGCGGGATCAATGTATAAGTAGGTATTTCAGGAATTATAAGACAGAAGGAATTCTACCAACCTATTCTTGATGTATATGCAATACATTGAAATCAAATGAGTGAGTGAGTGAGTGAGCGAGTCAAGATTTTAAGTCACATCGGCAGTATTTCAGCCATATCATTACTATTACAAGTTATATATTAAACATTAATATTGGTAAATTATATAAACCTGTCGACGAAGGACATTAAAACAACTAGACTATCACAGACATAAAATTAGAACTAGTAATTAAATTTAAAACATTTTCACCATACATGACAAAACAATATAAAAACAGGCTATAGATCGCCAACAACTGAAGGTAAATCACCAAACTAGGGAGTGAAATGAGATGAATGTGACAAGTAGGTATCAGATCCTATATATGGATCTATAGGATGTTTTCGAGCTGAATGCCTCACACATGACCAGGTTCTTTCTAATTTCAGAAGTACTTAGTAGATACACCAGACGACGGCGGTGACACCTTCACGTCGTTAAACGACAACGGCTTCCTCATGCCCAACTTCCCCGACGGACAAGGTATCGAGGGTGTTCCGTTCTGTGAGAATACGCGACGATGACGTCATAATTTGCACATATCCTAAATCAGGTAACATTAGCTACCATGGAACCTATTACTATTGGTATCTGCTAGGATGCATGTATTCACTAATAAGTCATTTTTGTGGCCATTTTTCATACCTGAAAAATCGATGCATTTGATCATCCGATTTTCAGTCTTAACTGAAAACCAACATAATACGTTTTCCAAGTATACAAAATTTTTATCAAATGCATACCAATAACACTCAAGCCCAACCCACCACACCCACACAAACCCAACTCAAGCCCAACCCACCACACCCACACAAACCCAACTCAAGCCCAACCCACCACACCCACACCAACCCAACACAAGCACAGCCAACCACATCCGCATGAACCCCACTCAAGCCCAGCCCACCACACCAACCCCACTCAAGCTCAGCTCACCACATCTACACCAACCCCACTCAAGCTCAGTCCACCACATCCACACCAACCCCACTCAACCTCAGTCCACCACACCAACACCCACATTAACCCCACTAAAGCCAAGCCCACGACACCCACACCCCCACCAACCCCACTCAAGCCCAACCCACCACACCCACATCAACCCCACTCAAGCCCAACCCACCACACCCACACAAACCTAATTCAAGCCCAGTCCACCACACCCACACACCACTCACTCAAGCCCCCCACCAGACCCCACCCACCAAACCCACCACACCCACACAAACCCCACTCAAGCAAGCCCAGCCCATCACACCCACACCGACCCCACTCAAGCCCAGCCCACCACACCCACACAAACCCCGCTCAAGCCCAGCTCATCACACCCACATCAACTCCACTCAAGCCCAGCCCACCACACCCACACAAACCCCACTCAAGCCCAGCCTATCACAGCCACACCAACCCCACTCTATCACATTCACATCAATTCCACTCAAACCCATCCTTTAAAAAACCAAACTAATTCCACTCAAGCCCATCTGCTCCTTAAATAAAAAGTTTGCCTCAATTTGATCAGCCCAACACAAACATTTGGTGTTGTGATGAGATGATGTTTTAATGATAAGCATTCATCCTTCAAATGGGTACAGTGTCTGGAGTTCCCAGACGTGATATTGCTGGAATATTGCTAAAAGCGGCGTAAAACCCAACTCACTCACTCACTAATCATTCAAAATTATTTGCTAACATCTTGTTTAATTTGACAACCCGTGTAGATCCAGGTTAAAACTGGTCTTCAGTATCCCATGCTTGTCGTAAGAGGCGACTAACTGGTTCGGGTGGTCAAACTCGCTGACACAATGGCATCCCAGTTACGTAGATCGATGTCCATGCTGTTGATCATAGGATTGTTTGGTGCACACTCGACTATTGTCAGACCGCCGCCATATACCTGGGATATGCGCTGTTAAACAACAAACTGAAAGTTCAGTTTGAAACAATTAAACAAATATGAGCATTCTGTCTTGGGGCATCACAGTACAGGTGTGGTCAAGATGCTGGTGCCTGATATACGTTATATTTTCTCGATAAATGATGCAGATCCGTGAGTTCATAAAATTGCCCTTATCATGCATCTCTCTTACGATCCAGTTGATACTGGTTTGTCACGTGACTTCCCTCTCTCCAGGAACCCACTGGGTGTGGGAAATTACTAGAGAGCTCCTCACAGGGGAGATAACCAACGATGACATCACGATGAGCCAGACCTTCATGGAAATGGGGTCAGAGGAGAGATATGCCGACCTCCCGTCTCCCAGGATCCTCAACTCCCATTTGCTGATGAAACATCTGCCAGATGACGTGCGTAATAAGAAAATAAAAGTCATCACTGTTCTACGAAACCCAAAGGACATAGCGGTCTCTTTTATAACTTCGTGAAAATGATTCCATTTGCCAAATACAAAGGGGAGTTTAAGAACTTTTTGCGACCACTATTTCAAGGAAAGTGTGAGTACCGTTCTATCTGTGATCATCTACAAAGGCTAAACTTTCCTACAATCCTTCTTCATCTGTGTTTCATATTTTTTATATTCTTCCTTTCTGTCAAAAATCTTTCTTGTAATTCTTCGTTTTGTAAGCAGTAAGTGCATACATGAATATGATACATTTTCGTTTAAGGCCACTTTGAATGGTGTTTCAAACATATATGTTTGCTCTGTTCCAAGAGCTTTGGGGCAGTGGGGTAACCTAGCAGTGGTCAAAGCGTTCGCTCGTCACGCTGAAAAATGGGTTCGATAAACCACATGGGTACAATGTGTGAAGCCCATTTCTGGTATCCCCCACCGTGATATTGCTGGAATATTGCAAAAAGAGGCATAAAACTAAACTCACTCACTTACCAAAGAGCTTTCTCTTAAAATCCTTATTCCTGTGATCGTCCTTAACCATAACCGCTGTCCGATCTGAAAATAAGCGTTTCGCAGCTTTGAACGGTGATTTGGTAGTGAGCTTAGTCCTAGTAATGAGTAGTCTTCTTGTATCCTCATTACCACAAATGGGCGGTGGGGTAGCCTAGTGGTTAAAGCGTTGGCTCGTCACACGTTGGCTCGATTCCCCACATGGGCGCAATGTGTGAAGCCCATTTCTGGTGTCCTCCGCCGTGATATTGCTGGAATATTGCTAAAAGCGGCGTAAAACTAAACTCAGTCAGTCAGTCAGTCATTACCACAAATACTTCTTTTAATAATTCCTACTTTAAGCATTCTTTCCTCTATTCTTTTTTTATAGTTATGTATGAATCATGGATGGACTATGTTCTTGACTGGGAGCTGGTGAAGAAGACCAGTCCTGATCAGCCAGTGTTGACACTGTTCTACGAAGACATTAAGCAGGTGCGAGGGATGGCAATTGTTGTTTAATGCTGCAGTTTGTAATATTACACCCACAAACGGCGGCAATGTAAGTAATCACGTTTTGGAAGAAAATGTACGGGAACGCATTCTAAGTGGATCACGCTATGATCAACCATTGTGACAGTAAGCCACTATTTGTGACAATTTGCGGTTTGCTGGGGATCGACTCTGACCGTGAACGGCGCAACACGTGAATCCGTTAGAAAGGTAAATTGGGGGCAACACGTAGATACGTTAGACACGTATCATGGGGCAGCACATATGGATCTTATTCAGGTATGTTGGGGCAACACGTAGGCACGTATCTTGGGACAGCACATACAGAACTTATTCAGGTATGTTGGGGCAACATGGAGATACGTTAGGCACGTATTTTGCGGCAACACGTAGAGACCTTAGTCAGGAACCCTGAGGAAGCACGTAGACACGTTTGACACATATATTAGGGGAAGCTTATACAGTTTTTATTCAAGCTTCCTGGGGCAACTCGTAGACACGTTTGACATGTATCTTTCGGCAGTACGTACAGACCGTAGCCAGGTATCTTGGGGAACACGTAGTGACGTTGGTCAGGTTTGTCGAGGGAAGATTTGGAAACATGAAGCAGTTATGAGTGATACACTTAATGAGCAAGTCAAGATGTTGTGAGGCAAGTTTCTCTCGTAATGTACTACCCATCAAAAGTTTTGACTCACTTAAAACACTCACTATATGATGTGTGTGTGTGTGTGTGTATATATATATATATATATACATATATATGATTACATCGAAGATGAATTTCTCCACTAACTAAGTGGCTACAGTTCCACTAGTGAGTCTAAACTTTTGATGGGTAGTATATGTGCAGGTTTGATGAGGCAACACGTGGAAACATTAACGTGTGTCCAGGCAACACCCAAATGCACTTTACGTATATGTGAAAAACGAGTTTACCCTACTTCAGGATCAGATGCGAGAGATGAAGAGGATATGTGAGTTCCTGGGTGTAGAGAGAACGGATGACTTCCTGTCCAAAGTCTGCGACAACACAACTATGGCAGCAATGAGGACTCACAAGTACAAGAAAAATAATGCAACAGGCGTTTTCAGAAAAGGTATAGATGAGATGCACCCATACCCTGTTTTCGTAAGTCATGTCATGCATTCCTTAGCCAACACCTTGGACACTTCGGTTTTGCTGCTCATGATAAATCGTTTTTTACATACTTGAGACAAAGGGAGACTATTTTTCAAAAAGTGCAAGATCTTTGAAGGAATGTCAGAGACCGATAAAACACATCCTCTTAACGTCTCCTACCCTGCAAAACATTCCGGAGAACGACCAGGGGTCGTTCCCGTTGGTGTAAGTGCAGTGCTACTACATGTGGCTTAGAAGTTGATACCGGTCAGTGGCTTAAAAGTCACGTGTAAAGCTTTGGTTTTATGTAAAAGGCTGATGCAGGTCAGTGACCTGGTTGTAAGTAAAGTATGTATGTAAAACTTCCAACCTAAACATTTTATTCTTTCCAGGTGGAGTAGGTGACTGGAAGAACTGGTTCACTGTCGCCCAGAACGAGTGGTTTGATCAGTTCTACCAGGAGAAGATGACCGACTGCCCCCTTCGGTTCAAATACTCACTGTGATTTACTGACTCAGTACATTAGCCGAACATACCATCATAGGTTTCAGGAAGGCCTTTGGAAACAATTCTACACAGCGGATCGCGCACCTCACACGACCGTGAGCTTCAGGAGGAAATCATTAATCTGACATGATGGATTTCAATTATGTTGACTCTGTACAAAGGCCAATAATATAACACTGACTACGCACGTTGAATTTTTGTCTCTTTATTGTGACACAAAGTTACAGTTGTTATTGTGAATGTCACTGTACCAGCTTAAATGCACCAGGGACGCTTCATGCTTCTTTTAGTAATAATACTCCAAGTATATCATGAGAAAAATATGTTGAACATCACTGCTTTACTATATGTCATAATTTCTAATCATCATTGCTTCTGATAGACAGTGGAGAAAGATGAAAAGGTGAAGTTTTTCTTAGCCATATTCCGTTTCCATCATGGCATCTGAGCTTCATGTGGAGAAAATCCCAAATTAAGTAATGTTCTGCTTTTTGCACCAACAACGATATATACATTCATTGACAAATTGTGGAAGTTATTAATCCTATCCAAACCATGCTTTTGAAGAACACTTAGTGTATATGTAGGACAGATTGTAATTGTAGCCAGTAAAATTGTTACCTTTTCCAAGAAAATAGTTCCTGTTCTGGTAACTCTCATGTGCTCTTCGCGTGGTCCCTACTGCTGGGTCCTGTCTTCAAAGGGTTTGTGTGCACCGAGAAAAGGAGGAACAGAGCATAAGAGAGTGGGAAAATACACAACAGTCACTACTGTATACCCACCTCCAGCTGTCCAATCCAAATCTGTCAACTTCAAGAACACAACACTGTGTGTGACGTTTCCCCCTACTGCACCAAACCCTCGAAGACCCGGGTCAGAATTGATCGTCAGCAACCCCTGCTCCCTATTCGTAAGAGGCGACTTACGGGATCGGGTGGTGAGACTCGCTGACTTCCTTGACACAAGTCATCGTATTTTAATTGTATTGATTGATGCTCATGATATTGATCACTGGATTGCCTGGTCCAGACTCGATTAATTACAGACCGCCACCATGTAACTGAAGCATTGCTGAATGCGGCGTTAAACAACAACCAACCAACCAACCCTTCTGCACCACACCTGTCCCCTGTCTTCAGCGAAACGCAATGTGAAGTGTGAGTCGCTACATGACACGCAACACTTTATAGTGTGTTTCACTCAAAGGTTTCGACTTCTCGCATTAAGATTATATTTAACAGCCTACATGTCAGCGCAGTGTGTTTGACACAGCAAGAAAATAAAAACAATTTCACCACATAACAATAATTAACAGTAATGGAGATGTCAAGTTTCGACTCTTATTGAGGTAGATGTACCCAGAAAAGTCGGACAAGCAAATATTTACACAAGAAGTTACATGAAATTAAATATATGCCAATGTATGCAAATGAAGCACCGTTTATAGTTAGCTAAATTGATTCGTTCACTCACAATACCAGAACGTTTTCTGACAAATCTTTCATCAGGAAAAGAAAATGGGAAGGAAAGGAGACTGTTTACTCTGAAATGTCTCCACAAAAATGTCCCGACATGTGTTTTGAAAGTCTGATTACGATTGGAGAGCAATATCCACAATTATGTACTATATATTTTTACTTCGACTCCATAACCCCACTTTATATAAAGGACCGTCAGATGTTTCCCTCTGGAATATTATGGCTTTTCAAGTGGATGTGACAGCCAGCCCTTGGATAGAGCTTATTATGGCTGTGATCAGGGTATTTCTACATATCCTGTATTTAAGCCTATTTGCATCTCCAATGTTTGTTAGCTGTGTTCGCTGCTCATATAAAAAATGTACTACAATTTCGTTGAAAATGATCTTATTGCAGTATTGATAATGCATTATTACTACGAAAGCTCTGGATCAACATCCACTAGAAACGTATGTATCCTAACCTGATCCACTGCAGTATCAATACGTTTTCCTCTTCAGAAACAACAACAGAATTTGAAATAAGGTTTCGTCATTCCGATTTCTGTTGCATCAGAAAGAAAATATTCCTTAAATGAATTATTTGAAATAAAAACGCAAACAATGTGAAACGTTGGCAATAAAGTCCTGTATTTATTTAGCACAATGTGGTGCGGTGGCCATTTGATGGTGGCTGATCAAAGACAAGCATTGATCTCCCGGTACTTGTCTAATACAGACCGAAAGTCTAAATAAGCAATACTTGTTTACATACAAACACACGCGTGTGCGCAAAGAAAAGGGAAAGCATGTCCTAACGTGTCATGTCAATATCTCTCATGTAATTTGTCACAGATTTGATAAACCTTAAACAGGTGTAAGTAATCTCTTAAGACCTGTACCGAATCGGGGTTTTCTACCACATTACGATTATACGCCACGAATACAAGCAGAATATTGTTAAAAGCGTTGTTTCAACTGAACCTCCTCACAAAGCCCCCTTCTCACCCCACATCATCCCAGCCGTTACGACCACCTCTGTACATTACGCAAAGTAATGGGTCCAAAGATGAGGAGAAACAATGCCGTGTAATAAAGTGGTGATGCCCAATATATTTATGCGGTGATAATACTGGAATATTACTAAACGCGGCACAAAACCTCCCTTACATATCTAAGCTTTATATAGCTCGTATATAACTCACATATTTACGTGAGTGAGAAAGGCTTTACCCTGCTTTTAGCAGTATTCCAGCAATATCACGGCGGGGAACACCAGAAATGGGCTTCACACAGTGTACCCATGTGGGGAATCGAACCCGGGTTGTTGTTGTTACTAGAGGACGCTTTAACCATTGGGCTCCCCGCCGCCCCATGTAGATATTTAAGCTTTATATAGCTCGCACTTAATTTACTTTAATTCCAGTTTGTCCCAGCTGAGGCTTGTGGTTTGTCAAAAGTATTTATGCAATGTAATAAAGCAGTGATGCCGAGGATGCTTCCATCACGATATACCTGGATTATTGTTAGTGGCTGAAAAGCTGTCTTATATATTTAGGCTGGTGTACCAAAGATTTATTGACACATCCATTTCTTTGTGTCACAATGAAACAAAGATCAAGGCTATATTCAGCTTCATATTATGGGACTTGGAGTAGAATCAAAATAATGGTAACTCATCATATCAGATTAAAGATTTCCTCATCCAGCACTGCTGGCACAGTCGTATAAGGTTCACAATCCCAAAGTCGTTCCTAAAAGCTTTGATCGTAGTAGGCTGGGTAAAAGTACAGGCTCGGTAAATCACAGCGTGTACTTAAACTGAAGGGGGCAGTCGGCCATCCTTTCCTGGTAGAGCCGATCCCACCACTCGTTCTGGGCGACAGTGAACCAGTTCTTCCAGCCACCAACTCCACCTGGAAAGAAAAATATTTAGGTTGGACTTTTACTTTGCTGATTTTTACATCAAACCAAAGTTCTACTTGCGACCTTTAAGACATTGGCATGTCTCAGACTTCTAACAGACCCTTGAAAAAAACAAGTTTCCGTGCAGACATTGGCATAATACCCTGGACTCGCATGTCGACTTTTAAGCCATGGAGTTACATGTAAAGTTTTACACCATGCAGCATTTGAAGCCACTGAAGCATCAGGCTTTAACATACATCTGTGGACATTATATTGACCCCACCAAGAACTCATGGAGCTCCAGGAGATGTTGAGATAATTTGTTTTACTGGTCTCACACACGTCTTCATATGTGTGGCACTTTGCAGAAAGTACTTCTCATGAACAGCAAACCTTATTGCCCAAGGTGTTGGCTAATTTATACATGCCTTGACAAGACCTAGCAAAATGGTCATAACTCATTCAAACCTTTTCTAAACACTTTAGCTCCACTATCGTCCGGCTTCTTGCGAGTGCTCATGGATGCAATAGTTGTGTTGTCGCAGACTTTGGACAGGAAGTCATCCGTCCTCTCTACACCCAGGAACTCACAAATCCTCCTCATCTCTCGCATCTGATCCTGAACGGACATCAAGTTGAATATTTACATCTCAAACTTCTTGTCATTATTTATGATCTTATAACCCAGACTGATCCTTGGAAGCGTCATTTCATCTTGATTTGTTTGTTGCCCCGAGATACCTGCTTAATGTGTAATTGAGTTGTCCCCATATACCTGCTCAGCGTGTCCACGAGTTGCCCCCTTACTCTTGCTTAATGTATGCACACGTTGCCCCCACATACCTGCTTTATCTCTACATGTTGTCCCCATTTTCCTGCTTAATAGCATCACGTGATGCCTGGATATATCTGCTTAATATGTCCACGCCCCAAAACAAGTTCCTTATACTCAATGCTTTTATGCTGAAATACTGCTGCCTGAAGCATTCATGAAAATTATGGCAAGAAAGTGTTGTCCATCTCACCTCCTTAATGTCTTCGTAGAAGAGAGTCAGCACAGGCAGATCAGGATTGTCTTTTTTCACTTGCTCCCAGTCGAGAACGTAGTCCATCCACGAGCCATAGATAACTGTAACAAAAGAAAAGACTAATGAAAAAATGCCTAATGATAACACGAACATTACAGGAAGTAAGCTCTTGGAACAGAACTCAGGGCTGTAACACGGTTCAAAGCGATGTTTATATTCCTCCTCAAACAGATGTAATGTACGCTCATCCACTCACAAATTTAAAGACTATCACAGAGATCATCAAATAAATCACCATTCCAAGAGACCATCAACGAAATCGTATATTTCACATCACTATTCAAACTATACTTGCCACGCTCCACTCACTTAATGCAGGATTACAGGACAAATTATCTCGAGCGGAAAGATTGTAAGAATAATGCTCTTGGGCTAAGACCTGATTCTACAGCTTTCACGCAATTCAATGCGTTAACACATGTATAATAGAATATACTCATATCTTTCTACGTGTGGAAATATTATGTGTATTCAACCACTCGGAAAACAAAGAATTACAAGAAAGATTTTACAAGAAGGATTATAAGATACATGAGCACATAGGACTATTTAAAGGTAAAGGATTACAAGAAGATAACTATTTATAGATGATCACAGACAGAACGGTACTTACACTTTCCCTGAAAGAAGGGTCGCAGATAGTTCTTCCACTCCCCTTTGTAGTTGATAAATGGAATCGTTCTCAAGAAGTTATAGAGAGAAACAGCTACATCTTTTGGATTTCTTAGAACATAGATGATTTTTATTTTCTTATTACGAACGTCATCTGGCAGATGTTTCATCAGCAAATGGGTGTTGAGGAACCTGGGAGACGGGAGGTCGGCATACTTCTCCTCTGGCACCATTTCCACGAAGGCTTGTCCCTTTGTGACGTCATCGTCAATTATCTTCCCTGCGAGGAGCTCTCTTGCTATTTCAAAGACCCAGTGGGTTCCTAGAGAGAGAGTCAAACTTTTATGCTATGGGTCGGTTTTGAACCTACGGATATGCATCAGTTATCAAGGAAAATACAAAGATGGGCTTAAGTGGGATGTAATATTTAGTCACTGGATGGGCTTTAAGTGAGGGCACTTAAGTAGTATAAATTCTTGTACAAAAAGAAACAGCTAGAATTTCTGCTACCAAAGTGCAATCCCAACGATAACATTGAAAAGGCACTGTGGAGTCTCTGGAGTATATGTTTCAGTAAAGATGATGATCAAATACAGGCACCATTGTAGTTGAAATGTCAAAAAAGGTTACTTATTGGTAAAGATATGAGTCATACTTGATACCAAATGAAATAAATCTAATTATACCTGATTTAGGATAGGTTGAAATTAGGATGTCATCGTCGCGTATTTTCACAGAACGTACACGGTCGATGCCGATTCCCTCGGGGAAGTTGGGAAGAGGGAAGCCATTGTCGTTTACGAGCGTGGCGGTGTCACCGCCGTCGTCCACTACTTCCACTATCTGTTTCTGAAGGGAGAGAGAACCAAGTCATGTGTGAGGTATTCAGCTCAAAAACATAGGACCCGTGAAGTTCCGGGTAAGAATTGGTCTTCAGCAACCATGCTTGCCGTAAGAGGCGGCTAGCGGGATCGGGTGGTTATCGTATCCCAACTGCGTAGATCGATGATCATGCTGTTGATCACTGGATTGTCTGGTCCAGTCTCGAGTATTTTCATATGGCTGGAATATTGTCACGTTAAATAATAAAAGAACAACAGAAAGACAGGTATTATTCCTTCTGTTTCATAGTTCCTCAAATATAATAGTCGCATTTATCTCACATTGATGTATTGGAAATATTTCACCAAAACCTGCTTAACATCTGATATTACTCCTAAAAGTTTGATCGATCACTGCTCAGGTATAAAGTTGGGACAGAGGGAAAGTAAGGTCGATCCGATCTGACATCAACAGTAACGATACCTGATTATCTTGATGCATAGATTACAAGCATTAAATATCTTCACACTTTTGTGAAAAAGGATATATATCGCTTTTTGAAACAGCTTAGTTATATTGAATTAACAAAACATGTTTCAAGGTGCAAACTGTAAAATAGTATTATTTCACTGTTCTCCGTATTACAGGTAGGTGACTTTCACCTCAGTAGGTTGCTTGTGTATCCTCTTTCTGCTCTGTGACAGGTGAACGCCCAAGTTACATTCACCCTCAAGGGGGTTGAAGTATTGTAAAATTAGTGTCCTCCTGAGAGGATACGGAAGTCCCAAAATTTTCAAAGTCAATTTAAACTTAACAGAATGTTTAAACGTAGTATTCGTGTTATTTTAATTTGGCTAAGATTTCTTACAATCGCCAGCAGCTGAAGGGATGGTGTAAATCCAACTAGAGTCCAGGCAGGTAGCAAAGGTACTGTAAGTCCCCATGGTCCCTAGTATGGTGATCTACCTTCTGTTGTTGTTTTTTATATTGTATTGTCCAAAAAGTGTTATTAGTTTTAACTTTCCACACTAGTTTTAATTTGAATTTTGATATTCTAGTTGATTTATTGTCCTTCGTCGACAGGTGTTTATAATATATCTACTAGTATATTCCATTTCAATGTCACATATGTTCTCATCACGATATGGTTGCAATATTGCCGATATGACGTTAAATAATAACTCACTCACTCATTCACCCAAGTTACATTCAGGTTTATTATTGAACGTTACAGTCAGCAGTATATCTGCTTTGTCATCGTAGTCTGCCAAAAAAGCTACCAGGCAAGCTGTAACAAGGTCGCCGTGATTGCTATTACGTGACAACGCTCACATATCAGTTTGTTTTGCCGGTTTTCTATTCAACGCTAATGCGTACTATTTCTTCGTTTTGTGTAAATCATAAACATTCATATAGGTTAAAACAAATAACCTTATTTCACTGTGCCACAGGGGCCTAACCGTAATCGATTCTCTTATCAACATGAAAACTATTAACATGTGTATCAGGTCACAGTGACACACACAACGATATGAGTCATGTTTACGGTCGTATATCAATGCTGAAGAACTGACCTGAGACATTGTGTCCGCATACAAGTCTACAGTATATCCAGTGAGAGGGCAGTTGGATCCAGACACAAGATCGGATAGCTACCAGGGGAGCTGTCAGCAGTGCAGTGAGGGTGGGGGTCGCCCAGTATCCGTTATATGCATGCATGTGTTGCCTAGTTGTCCTACTCGAGTTATCTGTGAGTGACATACATATTGTACAATGGGATTCCTGCTGCGATTGAGAAGTTATGGTAGGAGACTGAGAACATTTTCTGACAGATATTTGATCAGGAAGGAGACTGTCTGCTCTGTATCTAAAATGCTCTCTACAAAAATGTCCCAACATGTTTTTGAAAGTCTGATTACGATAGGATAACAATATCTACAATTTTATATTTTTACTATACTAGCCACATAAAGAAACTGTGCATTGTCAAAATATTATCCCAGTTGATAAGTACGATAACAATGTCAAAGGTACATATAAACTTTAATGGAGGGATCATGAGACCATAACAAGTCGGGAGAATTTCAATTGAAAAGTCAATCACAATGACGTCACGAGTCCACAAGCGGGACAGGGGTCAAACGACCATGTCACAAGCTCAATAACGGGTATGTCCACCATCGGCATTGAGAACAGCAGTGCATCGACGACGCATAGAGCCTATCAAACGTGCAAGGAAGGCTTGTGGGATGTCACGCCAGATTCTCTCAAGTTCTGTTGCAAGGTCAAGGACGTTATCTGGCGGATGAGGAAGACGCGTAGACGTCGATCCATCTCGTCCCAAACATGCTCTATCGGGGAGAGATCCGGTGAATTTGCAGGCCAAGGCAGTAAGTCAACGTTGTGGTGTTGCAAGAAATCCATAGCAACCCTTGCCGTATGAGGGCGGGCATTGTCCTGTTGGAAAGGAGTTCTTTGGCGTGCTGTTATTCCACCCCAAATCATCACGGAAACACCACCACCACCAAAGCGATTCCTCTCCAAGACACAGGCCTGTGCATAACGTTCTCCCACGCGTCTATAGGCACGTTGACGTCCATCACTATGGGAAATGTCAAACCTGGACTCATCTGTAAAAACAACATTTCTCCACCAAAACAAGGGTCTGCGGACATGATTTCGGCACCACATTCAGCGAGCTTGTCGATGACGTTGTGTCAGGATAGACCGTATGGCGGGACGTCGTGGTATGATCCCGTGATGACGTAAACGTTGTCGAACTGTGTTGGGGTGGATACGGCGAAGTCCTGGGATGGTTCGGGCAGTCATCACTGCAGTCTGAAACCTGTGGCGAAGATGGGTCAGCCTTATCCATATGTCCTGTCTTGGCGTTGTTGCACGTGGACGTCCAGAACGTGGCCGATCGATGACGTCATGTGTGTTCTGGTAGCGTTCTCACCAGTGCAGAAATGGTGTTCCGGTGGCAGTGGAAATGTGCAGCCACTTGTCGTTGAGACATTCCCCCACGGACCATCCCAATGGCCTCATGACTTTGTGCAGACGTGAGCCTTGGCATGCTATGCGTTTCAATAGCCGTTTAATTTTTTGAACGATCGCAAGGGCAGGGGTTGAGCTTTCCAAAGTGACAGTATTGTGTGGCATTCATTTGCTCTGTTTCTCTTTCCCGGAATGCACGTGCAACATCGTATTGCACGTCTCAAGGACGAACCCACTGACGTCACGGAACGTGGCACGTGCATGCATGTTGGATACATGTCACTAATCTCTGAGTTTAAATCTTTATGTGTCTACACAGGTTTGATAAATTTAGATTTTAAATTTTTGTATGCACAGTTTCTTTATGTGCCTAGTATTCTTCCACAACTGCGACGGTTAGGTCTATGACAGTACATATTTAGATATCAAACTGTCTGCATCGTTTGCTCTCCGTCGGCTTCGATGACAGCACGTGGTGCCGTACAACCTATGTAAACAAAGGATCGCTATGCAAATCGAAATAGTGTTACATGTTTTTGGATATTTTCTCAGTGAAACTAATTCATTCTATTAAAGATGTTTAGTTAGATGTGTAGACTCGTCAAAAATAAAAGAGTAAAAGAAATCTGTACATTATATTGAATGGACGGTGCAAGATGTGACGAATCGTCACATTTTTCTGTCCTGTGGCAGAGGTACTATGCTGGCTTGCCGCATGGAACTCTGGGTAGGAGAGTGCATACGCTCGTCACAGATACCGGGCGACTACCACCCTCACTGCACCGCTGCAAGCTCGCCTGGTAGCTATCGGATCTTGTGTCTGGGTCAGCGATCACTGGATATGAGCTGTATGCTGACACTTTGAACCATGTCTCAGGTAAGCTCTGCAGCATTTATGTATGACTGTATACATGACACAGGATATCATTGTCTGTGTGACCTGACGCAATACTGGTCAGAGCTTTTACGTATTACTGTGAGACTCGAAAAACATTTGTTTAACCTAAATGGATATTTCTGTGAATAGAACTACCAGGCAAGCTGTCTGTCGTGAACGAGGCCATGTATCAGGCCATATGTTGTTGGCTATTTGTCGCTACACCTTAGTCTTGAGTGGTTTTTCTCTGTTGTTGTTGTTGTTGTGATTCAAAACAATTATCCCTATTTTATAACTTGACCCCTGATCGTGATTTTTGGGAGTAACAGTAGCTATTAAGCAGGTGGCGATATAATTATGCTACAACATGGCTGAAAAATCAACCATTAATTCAAAACGTGCTCAAGTAGTAATAGATTTTATGGGCAGTCATCAACGTATATACTAAAAGGCCAGGGGCAGATACAGCTTTTTGAGAAGGGGGGAGGGGGGAGGTGCACACATCGTTTCAATGGTCATATAATAAATTTTCAGGACAAAACGGGGGTTGGGGAGTGCGCCCCTACACATACACATGACGTCACACTAATGACGTCACTGCCATGGTAACCGACGTCACGATGCATGTCAGTTGTCATCGCCTCGTACAGCCTCCTACAGTAAACTACTCCGTTGCACCTCGTTTCTTGATTTCCAGTTGCTAACATCACTGGTGGAAACAATGCGTTTATGTTTTTCGACAGATATAATGTCTCAGTTCGACTCACAATTAAACAGCGACACGGCAACGTTCGCAATGTTTACATTCCCACAATGCATTTAAGTTGTAGAATGAATGAATTCACGTGTTTGTTATGAATGAAAAAATAGTTACGTGAGAATGTGACCTAATTGAGAGGCCATCGGGTATCCAATCAAATCGTTACAATCTCACGTCAAGTCGTTACGACACAGGTCAACGCGATACGACACTCGTGTGACGTACGAGATTAATATGCAACTACCCATACGTTGACCACGTGGGTAATAAACCCACGCACGCAGGCACGCACCTTGATCCGCCTATGTAGGCTACAGTCGAGTCAACGAGTCAACTTAAATTGTGCTGGTGAGGGGCTGGCCTACTTAGTATTAGAACGGAACACATGTGGTTTGGTTACAGTGGGCGTTGACTGCATTGTCAGTTTCAATTTTCGTTGCCTTTTAACGGCAATTTTTGGCTTTATTTTGTTCGTGATTCTTATTTGACGTTTGCAATCAGCAACATTCCGTCTATATATCTGTGACCAGTGATTAATAGTAACTATCAACGCCATCGCAGTATGGTGACCAGCAATCAATCGTTCCTTCTGAGCCAACACGCAAGCCAAACGTATTTTGAAGAACAATATTTTCAAAGAAAAGAAGAAAAGCAACATTTATGGATGTCAACATCCATACAATATTAGTATAATGCATACAGATTCAACCAGAAGAGGGATCACACCATAAAAGTACAATCAATGGAATCTTCTGATTTCATTTTGGCTGCTCATAGCAAATCACACTTCATATTTAAGAGCAAACTGGGCTGATCTACAGTACTAATTTTAAAAGATTTGTTTAATAGTATTACTTATATTCCCTCAACCAAAAGTGTTTGAAGTGGAACAAGTTTAAAATCTATATTTTAATGGAATTTATTATTTTCCTTTCGGTTCTTATACTTCATACTTATGGGCAAAATCTAAAAGCAGTGGGGCAATATTGAATGTTTTAATTTCCTTGACTATGTTTATCACACAAATTCCCTAATCCAAAGCTGGCATAAATTGTTTTCGTTTGTTTGTTGTTTGTTGCTACACAATATTCTAGCTACATGATATCTGTAAATAACTGAGTTTGTACCAGACAATCCAGTTATTGAGATCGTAAGCATCCACACATGCAACCATTGAGAATTGATGCTAGACAGTGACTAAGTCATTGAGCCTGACAACCATATCGACATCAGGTAGCATTGGTTGCTGGGGGAAATTACACACACAAAAGTAAATATGAAGGCATCATTTACCTTGACAGTATCATCTCAGTAACAATATGTCATCAAAGAAACTTCAGCAGCTTGGCCTTCTAACACAAGGAGCAGATGACCATTTCGAGCAAATTGTAAAGGGGGGACAACTCTAACCACTAGTTTGTCCAGCAACTATAATGTCATTGATGACAGAGCATGGAATAACAAGTTCAAGCTGATAATTTCGATAACTTCTACACCATAATTTTTCTTCAAAGGTATAACTATAGCCTTCTGAGATGGGGCACAAACTCTTTTTTCATTCTGAAGTAATTATGCCTTGTATGTCTGGTGTCTGTTACAAACAGCTTCCATGTACACCATAATGATGAAAGCTATAAATGATCATTACTGGCAAATCTTATATGATAAGAGCAGTAATATTAACACAACAGTACTTGGAGGCTAAACATGTTATATTATCTGTGATGGTGTGTTACTGAATACACCCTTCCATTATAAATAATAGATCATCACTCTTTTTACAGTGTCATGCATGTGTACATGAACCTGTATATTTTTCGAGTATTTCAGAAGAAATATTCTCTGAAAAGTATGACCAAGCAACATACCAATCTCTTATAAACTCTCACAAATAGCATAACACAAATAACTTAGAAGTTTTAAATCCCCCAAACAAACTTGAATTGTGATAAATACATACCCATCAAGAATGGATGTAACATCATTAAAAAAATAATTATGACATAATTTAATTTTCTTTTTTCCCCGTTCTTCTTTACTGTATTATTATATAAAACATTGTGCAAAATGGCCAGGCTTGCCCATATTTAGATACAACTTACTATATTTTTACACATATTAGCGTAATTATTAAGCTATAAAATCAAAATCCAATACCATTCACATCATATATTTTCTGGTTCTATTTGTGGGCATACACATAATTAGCTATATTTTAAAATATCATTAGATATTGCAAGAAAGTCATGAGCAGCAACCATTTCTCGGGGGATGAATGAATCATAAAGAATAAAAAATGAATGAAAAACACCTGACACCTAAATTCAGCATCCACAACCAGGAACAATAATTGGTCGCTCACATATGGTAAACTGGTAGAGTAATTACAGTAAAGCGCATGAAAATGAATTCTATTCTGTTACATTTTTTGCGCTGCTATATTCAGCTATTATGGCGGACATCGATTATTGAGCGCTGCCACTGGCATTTTTTGCAATTAGTAGTCAAATAAAGGACACGAGTTGTGCAGCTGATTTTGCTCTTAATAACTGTTTGTCGATTAAATACATAGTTGAAAGTAACACGTATCCCAGTTCTGGCGTAACAGACGCAAAGCTTTATGGTCAGAGCTTTCACGTATTACTGTGAGACTCGAAAAAACTCAGATCCCTGTGAATGAAGGGTTATTTGTTTAACCTAAATGGATATTTCTGTGAATAGAACTACCAGGCCAGCTGTCTGTCGTGAACCATGTATCAGGCTTGGGGCTGGTCCTCTGTGGTGTTGAGGGTCTTGTTGGTGGTCTTGGTGACACGGTCTGCACGAACTACAACATCTAAAGGACACCTTCACATCCCTCAACGGATACCCTGCAGACCTTGTCACCAAGACCATCAACAAGTCCCTCAACACCACGGAGACCAGCCCCAAGCCTGCACCATTCCCCATTAGAATCACAATTCCCTACATAGGACCTGTCAGCCACAAGATCTCCCGCCTCATCAGAAACCAAACCAGTACTGACGTCACATTCTCTAGCGGCAAGACCCTCAAGAATCTTCTCAGAGCCAACGGCAGAGGATCCAGCACTGCAAGCCCCAACCCATGAGGATGCATCTACCAGATTTCATGTCGTTGACAACTGTACATCGGGGAAACACTGCGACCTGTCAACACAAGACTCAAAGAAAACCAAGCTTCCGCCAACAAGCTCGACCAGAAGTCTGCCATATCAGAACATATTCTAAAGAACAAGGACCACACCATCAAATGGGAAGCCACCAAGATCTTGTCCACTAACAACAACAACTGGCGCCAAAGGAAGCTTCAGGGGGCCATAGACATACGGAGATGTCAGCCAGCAATCAACCGTGACCAAGGAATCTACCTACCATGTGCTTGGGACTCATTTAATTACTTGTTCATCTCCACTGCTTATCACCACCACTCAGCCCACTCATGTCTCTTGCATGTTTACGCCGCTTTTAGCAATATTCCAGCATTATCACAGCGGGGGACGTCAGAAATGGGCTTCGCGCAGTGTACCCATTGGGAAATCGAACCCACGTCTTCGGCGTGACGAGCGAACGCTTTAACCACTAGGCTACCCCACCGCCCCTGGTATGGTGAAGATGCTGGTGCCTGTTGAACGTTATATATCCCTGATAAATGATGCAGATCTGTGGGTTCAAAAATTGCCCTTATCATGCATGTCTCTTACGATCCAGTTGATACACGTTTGTCACGTGACTTCCTTCTCTCCAGGAACCCACTGGGTGTGGGAAATTACTAGAGAGCTCCTCACAGGGGAGATAACCAACGATGACGTCACGATGAGCCAGACCTTCATGGAAATGGGGTCAGAGGAGAGATATGCCGACCTCCAGTCTCCCAGGATCCTCAACTCCCATTTCCGGATGAAACATCTGCCAGCTGACGTTCTAAATAAGAGAATAAAAGTCATCACTGTTCTAAGAAATCCAAAAGACGTAGCGGTCTCCTTTTATAACTTCTTGAAAGGGGATCAAGTGGTCAAATACAAAGGAGAGTGGAAGAACTTTTTGAGACCCCTATTCCAAGGAAAGTGTGAGTACCGTTCTACCTGTGATCATCTACAAAGGCTAAAAAATTCCTACAATCTTTCTTCCTCTCATAGTTCTTATATTCTTCCTTTCTGTCAAAAATCTTTCTTGTAATTTTCGCTTTGTAAGTAGTAAGTGCTGACGTGAATAGTGATATGATTCAATTCAGTTCAAGGCCACTTTGAATGGTGTTTCATACATATACGTTTGCTCTGTCCTTATTTCTGTGATCGTCGTTATCCATAACTGCCGTCCGAATGGGAAATAAGCTTTTGCAGATTTGAACGGTGATTGGGAAGTGACTTTGGTTCTATTAATGAGTATTATTTCTGTATCCTCATTACAACAAATACTTATTTTTAATAATTCCTTCTTTAAGCTTTCTCTCTTCTCTTCTCTTGTTTTGTTATAGTTATGTATGAATCATGGATGGACTATGTTCTTGACTGGGAACTGGTGAAGAAGACCAATCCTGATCAGCCAGTGTTGACTCTGTTCTACGAAGACATTAAGCAGGTGAGATGAGGTGAAATTGGGTTTAACGTCGTGCTTGAGAATATTTCGCTCATATGACGACGTGTATGTGTATGAGCGGCTGCTTGTACTAGCCCAGACTGAAGCTGGTTTTATAGTGCTAGCACCACTGAGATGCCATGCCGCAGTGTAGCATGAATATCCCACTCAGACACATTATACTGACTCCGAGCCGACCAGTCCTTGTTGTACCCATTAATGCCGAGCGCCAGGAAAAGACCAACAAGTACCATATTTTAACGTCTTTTGGTATGACGCGGTCGGGGATCGACAATTATTCTTTAATGCCGAAGTTTGCAATATTACGCCTACAAACGGCAGCATTTATGTAATCACGTTTTGGAAGAACATGTATGAAGAAGGCAATTTAAGTAGATGACGCTCTGATCACCCATTGTGACTGTAAGCCACAGCTTGTGGCAATCTGGGATTGTTGACAACTGGGTGTCGCTGGGGATCGACCCTGCACCTGAACGGCGCAGCACGTGAATACGTTAGGAAGATAATTTGGGACAACACGTAGACAGGTTAGAATTGCCCCTACACGTGAAATGAATGTGTGATATGTGTACATATGACAAGTAAATCTAAATACATGACAACTCTTGCCTGGAATAGTTAATGGACTCTATATTGTGTATTTATGAGCGGATTGTGAAAGTTAATCCAAGACTGTATTTTGGGCCCCCTTGATATTGGAACACAGGTCTGTCTGTCTGTCAGGCACGTAACTTGGGGCAGCATATATACACACTATTCAGGTATATTGGGGCAACACGTAGAGACTTTAGGCACGTATCTTGGAGCAACACGTAAAGATGTTCGGCAGGCATCTTGGGGCAGCACGTTTTTGCCTTAGTCAGGTATCTTTCGGCATCACGTAGAGAAGATAGGCACGTATCTTTGGGCATCACGTAGAGACGTTAGGCACGTATCTCTGGGCAACACGTTGAGACGTTAGGTACGTATCTTTGGGCAACACGTAGAGAAGTTAGGCACGTATGTTGGTGCATCACGTAGAGACGTTAGGTACGTATGTCGGGGTAACATTTGGAAACATGAAGCACTTATGAGTTATACACTTAATGAGCAAGTCAAGATGTGGGTGAGGCAAGTTTCTCTCGTAATGTCATGTGCAGGTTTGGTGAGGCAACACGTGGAAACATTAACGTGTGTCCAGGCAACACTCACATGTATAGCTGTTGTATAGTAAACAAGTTAGAAATAAGTTTACTGCACTTCAGGATCCGATGCGAGAGATGAGAAGGATATGTGAGTTCCTGGGTGTAGAGAGAACGGATGACTTCCTGTCCAGAGTCTGCGACAACACAACAATGGCAGCCATGAAGACTCACAAATACACGGGAAATGATGCAAGGTCAATCTTATTTAGAAAAGGTATGGATGAGATGAACCCATACCCCGTTTTCGTAAGTCATGTCATGCATTTCGTAGACAACACCCTGGAGAATTAGGTTTTGCTGCTCATGTTAAATCACTGTCGACATACTTGAAACAAAAGAGAGTTGTTTTTAACAAGAGTCATCAGAAGATGACATATCCCCCCGGCCCCCACATCTTTGAAAGAACAAATCATCTGACAGTTACTTAAAGTCCAGCTTGTTTTAGACTAAGTGCAAATCGTTTCCATGGAAATCATGAAAAAAATAAATGACAAAAATCTGCAAATAGCAAAAGGCACCACTTCAAGATCTCCCTTACATATCTGCCAAGTTTTACCGAAAGATATTAAGAAGTTTTGAGTTGTGCTCCCGAAACGAAACCTACCCCGCCTTTTTCGGACTAAATCGGAATCATTTCCATGGAAACCGAGAAAAATAAAAATCACAAAAATCTGCAAATAGCAAAAGGCACCACTTCAAGTTCTGTTTGATATATCTACCAAGTTATGTTGAAAAATATCCGAATCGTTTCAATGGAAACCGGGAAAAATAAAAATGCCCAAAATCTGCAAATAGCAAAAGGCACAACTTTAGGATCTGTTTGATGTATCTACCAAGTTTTGTTAAAAAATATTGTACGGTTCTTGAGTTATGCTCCGGAAATGAAGCCCACCCCTCACTTTTGGGACTAAGTCCGAATCGTTTCCATGGAAACCGGGAAAAATCAAAATGCCCAAAATCTTCAAATAGCAAAAGGCACCACTTAAGGTTCTGTTTGATATATCTACCAAGTCTTGTTGAAACATATTGAACGGTTTTTTAGTTATGCTCCGGAAATAAAATGATTACGGACGGACGGACGAGGCGACGACTATATCCCCCCGCATTACATGCCGGGGGGATAAAAAAGTGTAAGATCTTTGAAGGAATTTCTGAGACCGATAAAACACACCCTTTCAACGTCTCCTGCCCTGCTATACATTCTAGAGAAAGATCAAGAGTCGTTCTCTTTAGTGCTAGTACATTTGGCTGAGAACTCTGCGTGTAACCCTATGGCTTAAACGTCTGCATATAAGTCCACAGCTCCAAGAAAAAGTCACAAGTAGAAGTTTGGTTTTATGTGAAAGTCTGATGCAGGTGAATAGCATAAATGTCACAAGAAGAACATTTGGTTTTATGTAAAAGTCCGAAAATTAAAGCCCAACGTTTCTTTCCAGGTGGAGTAGGTGACTGGAAGAACTGGTTCACTGTCGCCCAGAACGAGTGGTTTGATAAGCTCTACCAGGAGAAGATGGCTGACTGCCCCCTTCGGTTTAAATACTCACTCTGATTTACTGACACTGTACCTTAGCCGAACATACGATCATATGTTTCAGGAAGGCCTTTAGAAACAATTCTACACAGCGGATCGCGCACCTCACACGACCGTGAGCTTGAGGTAGAAATCATCAGTCTGGCGCGATGAATTTCAAATATAATGACTCTGTGAGAAGGCCCATAACATAACACTGACAATGCACCTTGATTTTTTGTATATTGTGACACAAAGTTACAGTTGTTGTTGTGATCATGATAGAAATATATATGTTTGTCATCCCAACTTATATTTTTTTCTTATCAGTGAATGCAAATCTTAACTCGCTCACAATTACTCATTATCTTTGCATCTAGCGATGAAAAAGAAAGATGAAGTGGAAACGTAGTTAGTGAATGAGTTCAAACAACGCTTTTAACAATATTCCGTTTGCATCTGAGCTTAATGAAGGAGAAAATCCCAAGTTAATCAATATTCTGCTTTTTGCACCACCAAAGATATATACATCCATTGACAATTTGTGGAAATTATGATCCTGTCCAAACCATACTTTCAAGAACACTTGTTGTATATGTAGGGCACGTTGTAATTGTCGCCAGTAAAATGGTTACCTTTTCCAAAAAATAGTTCCCATTCTGATAACTCTTATGTGCTGGTTCCTGTCATCAAACTGACTGACTGACTGAGTTTGGTTTTACGCCGCTTTTAGCAATATTCCAGCAACATCACGGCGGGGGACACCAGAAATGGGCTTCACTCATTGTACCCATGTGGGGATTCGAACCCGGGTCTTCGGCGTGACGAGCGAACGCTTTAACCACTAGACTACCCCACCGCCCCCTGTCATCAAAGGGCGGTGGGGTAACCTAGTGGTTCGATTCCCCAGAACGGTACCATGTGTGAAGCCCAATTTTCCGTGTCCCCTGTCGGAATATTGCTAAAGGCGGCGTAAAACTAAACTCACTCACTCACTCACTCATGTCACCAAAAGGTTTGCAAATTTATGTTCTGAAATCATTGATTGACATTTATCAAAATGTAAAAACGAACATGTTTTATGTTTTCGTTGATTTTTTGTATAGCTTTTGATACTGTTTTGAGAAGAAGCCTTTGGTATAAATTAATTCAGAGTAACGCCGATGGAAAATGTTTCTGCATCATAAAGAATACGTATGAGCATATAAAATCTAGAGTTGTACATAATGATGTAGTAACAAATGCCTTCACATGTAAGATTGGGGTTAGACAGGGTGAAAATCTATCTCCCTAGACTTTCAAAAAGCGTTTGACTCAGTGAATAGACATCTCTGGACCGCCTACAGAAGAATATTCTTAAGGGGAAGATGTGCTATTCTCAAATCAGAATGTTAAATCATGTGTTCGATGTGACAAAGGCATGACTGAGTTCTTCGATTGTCCAACTGGGTTACGCCAAGGATGTGTACTGAGCCCCTACTGTTTTCTCTTTTCGTTAACGAATTGTACAATGAAATAATGCTTTCAGGAAAACATGGAGTTCAACTATTTCCAGATATTTTTTAACTTTTATCACTTCTTTTTGCGGATGACGTGATCCTAATATCAAACTCTATAACAAGACTACAGAATCAGCTGAACATCCTAGCTAAATACTCGGACGAATGGAAGCTAACGGTTAATCTGGATAAGACGAACATTGTCATATTCAGGAAAGGTGGTCGAGTCGCAGACATATAAAGGAGATGGACATATAAAGGTGTCAGAATCGACTTGTAAAAGAGTAGAATTATCTTGGCATCATGTTTACACAAACCTTGAACCTGAGTAAGTCTGTACAGCAACTAGCAACCAGAGCGAAGAAGGCATTTTGTCAACTGCAATCAATTTTAATACACTGTTTAATTTTGCTTCAGAAATATATGTAAACTCGACTGTATATGGGCCTATGGCATTTCGTACAATAGAGCATTGAATTGAATTGACTCATCGAAGGGTTATTACTATATAATGTATAAGTATTCACTATTTTTAGAACCTTATTTGTTACAATTATCTTATTACTGTAGACGCTGGTTAACTAAATTTAGAACTAGGGACAGCAAGGTCGACCCGATCTGACATCAACAGTGACGGACCTGATTATCTTGATGCATAGATAACAAGCAGTAAATATCTTCACACTTTTGTGAAAAGGATATATATTGCTTTTGAAAAAGCTAAGGTATACTGAAATATCAAAACTTGTTTCCATTTGCAAACTGTAAAATAGTATTATTTCGCTGTTCTCCGTATTACAGGTAGGTTAATTTCACCTCAGCAGGTTGGTTGTGCATCTTTTCACTTCCGTGTGACATGTGAATGCCCAAGTCGGTGTTACATTGTATCTGGTTTTGTTTGTTATTGAACGTTACAGTCACCAGTATTTCTGCTGTGTCATCGTCTGTAAATAAAGTTGTTGTTGTTTTGTTTTGTTTTTTTGTTTTTTTATTTGTTCCCATGGTTACAAAGTCAATAACAAGGGTATATGGTAGCAACAAGCGCAGAAAAGGTGAAGATAAGAAAAGGTCAACCTCTGTATTTCCGTTTGAACACTAAGTAAACCTCTCGCACGCACAAATGGACCCCACTGTATCGTAAGTGAAAATGCATTGATGATACAATCTGATGCTATCTACTTTTTTTTCGAATTACAGGCAGGTTACTTTCACCTCAGCAGGTTGGTTGTGCATCTTCTCACTTCCGTGTGACATGTGAATGCCCAAGTCGGTGTTACATTGTATCTGGTTTTGTTTTATTATTGAACGTTACAGTCGCAAGTATTTCTGCTGTGTCATCGTAGTCTGTAAATAAAGTTACCAGGCAAGCTGTCTGCAGTGAACGAGGTCACAGTTGTCGTGATTGGTAGTACGTGACGGGCATCACGTATCTGTTTATTTTGATGGTTAGTCGTTCTTTTGGTGTAAATCAAAGCAAGTATTCATTCACTGTGTCACAGGGGACTGAATCTAATCGAGTTTCTTTAACATGAAAGCTATGATCATCGGTTGGTCACACACAACGATATGCTGAGTCATACATGTATATTAAGATCATACTGAAGAACTTACTTGAGACATGGTTCAAAGTGTCTGCATATATGTCCACAGTATGTCCAGTGATACAAGTGAGAGGGCAGTTCAGTCGAGACCCACAGATCGGGTGACTACCAGGCCAGTTGTCTGCAGTGCACGCAGTGAGGGAGGGAGGTACCCAGTCACCGATTTATGCATGTATGAGCTCAATAGTTGACCTACTTGTTTTATCTGCGCGTGACATAAGTGTGGCTTAAGCTAAGAGAAGGTATGGAAAGAGATCGCTACATTTTTTAACGGCGATGACTCTCTCTATCGTTAAGGGCGTTGTTTCAACTGAACCTCCTCACAAACTCATCTCTGTAACTTAGGCGACACAATGCCATGTAGTAAGTAATTATTTCCAGCAGATTTCTCTGGTGTATAACTGGAATATTACTAAAGGAGACACAAACCGTTCTTTACACATTTAACTGACTGACTGACTGAGTTTAGTTGTACGCCGCTTTTAGCAATATTCCAGCAATATCACGGCGGGGGACACCAGAAATGGGCTTAACACATTGTGCCCATGTGGGGAATCGAACCCGGGCCTTCGGCGTGACGAGCCAACGCTTTAACCACTATGCTACCCCACCGCCCCTTTACACATTTAAGCATTACATAGTTTTTATATTGAAACATAAAAAACATTCCCTGAATTTCAGGACAATATTTGATACAAACCAATCCATGCTGAATCCCAACACGTGGAGGAAGGGTTGCCGACGACAAAACGTTTAAAAGAGAAACGTTGAACAAAAACGTACCGTTACACTGACATTTGTAGTGAATCGTTACAACACACACAACATGAAATGCACGTGCATCATGAAATTGTGTATCAGCCCGAGCTGAAGCCTATGACTGTAGGCTTTAAACAGCCACATCAATGGTACTCCACATGCACTATAGACAACAAGAGAATGTCAAGACTGACAGAAGCTCAATGACACGACGCCATCGGTCGTTTACAAGGACGGGCATCGCAGCATAAGGTGGCAAGTCACTTCAGCGTGTCCAGACAGACCATCTCAAAGCTATGGACCTGGTCAGGTGGACCTAGAGTTACCACCGCCGCTCGGAATCGCCACATCTGGTTGAGACATCTTCGTTCACGCACCACGAGCAACCCAAATCCCTGAACAGTTTTGTTCTCAGATGAGTCTCGGTTTCTTCTCAGACGTGCTGATCGACGTTCGCGTGTATACAGACGTAGTAACGAACGTTACGCCGATAACTGTGTAGTACATGTCAATAGATTTGGTGTCAGGGTGTGGGCAGCTATCCACCATAATGGCCGGACAGTTCTTGTGCACGTGGCGGGTGCATTGAATGGGGATGAGATTTTGCTAAGTCAAGTCGTTGCCTTCATCAGCGTCAGCGGTGGATCTTTCCAGCATGACAATGCTCGACCTGACGTTGCCCGTGACTTCCTCCAGCAAAACAACGTTCAGGTGTTACCATGGCCTTCTTGATCACCCGATTTGTCCCCCATTGAACATCTATGGGATACTCTTAATCCGCCACCTCAGACACTACAAGAACTGCATGCAGCACTTCAGCAAGAGTATCTAAACATTCCTCAAGGCAGCATTCGGCAGCTCCTTTCTTTTATGGGCTGCCGCTGCCAAGCTGTTATCGAAGCTCATGGTGGCCACACCAGATACTTACATTTTACTCTGACCAAGTGGCTTTAATAGCCCTCTGAGGTTTTACCAAACACTTTCATGTTTTGGAAATTTGTAAAGTTATGATTGTACTGTAATTAAGCAATGATGTCATGTTTGGATCAGTTACATGCACTCAGTAAATATACTACAAAACAGCACGACAAGTTTCTTTTTATTAAGAGTATCCTTTATTTCCAGTTTGTCCCAGCTGAGGCTTGAGGTTTGTCTGAAATATCGACATGGATTTGACGAAGATGTTGCAAGCATTGCTAAAACCAATTCATTCTGCATACAAAGATAAGAAAGTAATGAAATGTAATACAGTAGTGATGTCCAGGATGTTTCCATCACGATATAAATGGATTATTGTTAAAAGTGAATGAAAAGCTCTCCTACATATTTAAGCTGGTGAAGCAAAGATCACGGACACATCTGTTATTTTGTGTCACAATGATGCAAAGATCAAATCGCACATTCCGCCTCATATTATTGGACTAATAGTAGAATCAGTATAATGGTACTGCTGACACAGACCTATAAGGTGCACAGTCCTGAAGGTGTTCCTATAAGCTATGATCGTAGGTTGAACTAAAGTACAGTGTTAGTAAATCCCAGTGTGTATTTAAACTGAAGGGGGCAGTCGGCCATCCTTTCCTGGTAGACCTGATCAAACCACTCATTCTGGGCAACAGTGAACCAGTTCTTCCAGTCACCAACTCTACCTGGAAAGAAACAATTACCTTCAGACATTGTCTCAATACAACGGATTCCCATGCCGGGTTTTAAGCCATGGAGCTCCATGGAAATTTTACACCGAATACTTACGTGCAGATATGCCATATGCACTAGTACTGGACCAGCATGAATGTTACGAAGGACAGGAGATGTTGAGAGGATTTGTTTAATCAATCTCTGCATATATGTGGCACTTTGCAAAAGTATTTCTCATGAGCAGCAAAGCCTTATTGTCCAGAGTGCTGGCTAAGAAATACACGACATGACCTAAGATAAGGGTCATAACTCATCCATACCTTTTCTAAACACTTTAGCTCCACTATCGTCCTCCTTGAGAGTCCTCATGGCTGCTATAGTTGTATTGTTGCAGACTTTAGACAGGAAGTCATCCGTCCTCTTCACATCCAGGAACTCACAAATCCTCCTCATCTCTCGCATCTGATCCTGAACGGACATCGAGTTGAATAAATACGTTTCAAACTTCTTGTCATCCTTCGGTACAACCTTAGAAGAGTCATTTCATCTTGATTTGATTGTTTTCCTCATATACTTGCTTAATGTGTCCACGTGTTGCCCATATATATTTTCCTTCATGTGTCCACGTGTTGCCCATATATATTTTCCTTAACGTGTCCACGTGTTGCCCATATATATTTTCCTTAATGTGTCCACGTGTTGCCCATATATATTTTCCTTAATGTGTCCACGTGTTGCCCATATATATTTTCCTTAATGTGTCAACGTGTTGTCCATATATATTTTCCTTAATGTGTCCACGTGTTGCCCATATATACTTTCCTTAATGTGTCCACGTGTTACCCATATATATTTTCCTTAATGTGTCCACGTGTTGCCCATATATATTTCCTTAGAAACTGAGGCGGTTTCCCTTCCACCTGTGATATGGCCCCCTTCCGAAAGAGTTCTTGTATCTACTGGTCTATTGGATTCATTTCCTTTATTGAGAAGGATGGAGTGTTTGGTGGGGATTTCTGAAAGGGAGTGGAGACCCAATCCAACTTTGCTCCCTGCACCAGTGTAAGAACTGACTGGTCACAGGTTATCTTTTCCCAATTTTCGAGAAAGAAATGAATTCTCCCTGCCAAAGGAACGTTTGGAGCCAGCTTGGTCAAATTCAAACCTAGCACTGGGGTCACCACATTTCCGTTTTTGTGCAGTGTATCTAAATCTAAGAACAGGTGTTCTAACTGATTTTGTTAGGGATAAGGAACTTGCTGATACATACCTTTTGCCTCTCTTGTCCTGGGACAAACCTCCCCTGCTGACATGTCCACCGGTATATCCGCCCCCGGAAACCTGTCTGCCTCCTGAAGGCACGGGCCAAAGGGCTGCTTGAACATGGTGGGTCTGGAAAAACTAGCAGACTGTGGAGGGTTAGGGTGTGCTTTTGGCTTATGCACAAATTTCAGTTTCTTTTTAGGGGGCTGAAGTGCATCAGCCACTTCTCTAGCTGCCCAACGGTTTTTTCCCATGTCTTTCAAGACTTGCCGAAAACCGTCCCCAAACAATTGGGCCTCGGTGTCACTGAAGACGTTGGCATGTTTTCTCATCAAGGATTTACTCTTTTTGAGATCCTTTGTAAGTTTGCACAAAGTAGCTAGCCTCTTATTGTAGAGTTCAAGGCTACATTAACTTGGCCTGTGCAACATATCGTTTTCTCAACCTGCTCAATCACACACTCGAAGTGTCAGTAGACTGATCATTACGGGCCTGTTCAAGTAGAGCATATAAAGCCCCTAAAGGACGCATAACTCTCATGAGCCTGGACTGAATGGATCTTAGACCCTTGTCAGCTCCCTTCTCATTACTTATCCCATTTTGTTCCATAAGGGATTTAATAATTAGGACTGGGACGATTCACTGATGCACCGATACATCGAGATAAAAGTTTGATACAGCTATCATATCGTCGACTGGTGTATCGATACAAAACGATACATGACTCTTTTTCAAAACAGTATTATCTTAAACATGATAAAGTACATATTTAGAGAAAATACGCACGTATGATAGAGTTACTTGTTTGTTTATTACAAAAGTGTTATTGTTATACACAAATACCTTGAAAAAAATCATTTTAAATCTTAATACTGTGTCATTCTTTCAAGGTGTATGTATCGTGATACGTATCGTATCGCAGGTAAAATATCGCGATATGTATCGTATCGTGACATAGTGTATCGTCCCAGCCCTATCAATAATGCCATCCATCTGAGGGACTTCAAAAACCTTACCCTCCGGTATAGGACATTCCTCTTGCACACCCTTCATAGTCTTGTCATCAATGAAAGTGGTAAACTGCTTGGTAATGCTGTCCCTTAGGGAGCCTGAATTTGATGCTATGACTTTCTCTGCTTTTAAATGACAATGTAATCAATATATGTCTTTGAAATAAAACTCATTCCGAGTATGTACTTACAATGTTTACTAATGCAAACTTGTTCTCGTCACTATATGGCTGGAATAATGCCGATGTGACGTAAAGCCCAACTCAACTCAACTCAACCTTAGGGAGCCTACAGCGAGGGACATTAGATGCCCCATGAGGGTCAAAACGTCGAGGTTCTGTCGGGGTGTCCCCAATATTCGAGGTACCCTGCACAGACCAAGTGCAATTAAACCAATTATGCAAGAAAAATACTAACCTCCAGCTTAAAAAGCGAAATGCAACTGTGACTTTCACGGGTCGACTGCTAGCTGTAAGCTGGTAATGGAGAATGGCGAATTTCTTCCGGGACTTTGAAAAAGCTGGTTTGCGCCACCTGGTGGCGGGGAGATAACAAGTACTACGTAACCATATTGTAAAACATTCATCCTAAGTGGGTCGTCTTTCCAATAGTATCTTTTTTCACAAAAACTAAAACGTATATGCACTACATCTAGCTTGCCATCAGTGAATGTGCCGGCATTCTACGCTTGCTACTTAATTCTTACATAAATCGTACGATATATGTCCCTCCTCTTCCACCTTCACTTTGATATCGATACCATATCCAAATACATCACGAAGATAAATGCAATTTGCAGTTTTGTTTGAAATTCGTTTTTCTGTGATATCATCCGCTCATTGTACATCAAATATACTAAAAATTACATGCATCGTAAATCTCTCCAGTTTTGACACATTACTAAATCCCCATGTACTGCGTAAAAGCGTAATTTAATTGTAGTATGTCTTAATTCAAATGTCAAATATTGCTGGGAGAACTGAATTTTATAAAGAACAAACGTATCATTGTGATCAGCGGTAATTTTGTTGTTGTTGTTTCATCGAATCACGAATGCTCGTTCTGAAACATTGTCGATGAACCGAGAATCGCTGAGAATGTTTTAGAAAATACACGAACACAATTAACGTCAAAGTGAATTTTCAGCCATATTGCAGAGTGTTTATACATTATAAAATCACGTAGGTTATAAATGTTTCGCCCATAAAATCAATTGTATAATTCAACACCATCTTCCTTACATGAATCCCTCAATTCCTCATAATAAATAATATATATATTCAAAATAAACTGACAAATGAACTCTGTCACCTATACGAAGTGTTTCAGTGAAATCTAACGAAAAATATAAGATGCCGCGCTGGGAAAGGACCAATTGTTTGATATGTAAACAAAGCTAATCTCAGATTTTACACTGTATATCTGTTCGCCTACTTGTTGCATACACTTGCTCATTAGTTTTAGAACAGGCATGGGAAAGGTATCGTACCAAGGGATAGTTAAATAAAATAGGTGTATTCTTATAATTTCCTAGATTTCACAGCATATTACTGTATAGTTTCTGAAAGCGTGACGCCATGACTGACGCAATCTCACGCACACAGGCGATGGTACTTCACTTAATTTCTGACTATTTCCCTTGGTCACAATGAAAACAAAAAGAAAATAACAACCAGTAGACTGTCAGAATGTTTCGGACTACTTACATGTCACATTTATGCATATACGTTGCTTGAAACAACGAAAGTTTCTTTCGAAAACTCCGGCGTACTCGTGTCAGTGAACACCCATTTCGAAAAAGTCGCTTCCCGATAGTGACGTCATACGGACGTCAACATTGTGATACAATTTTCATTGAGGTGAGGTAATGAATGAAAATACACACGATCAATCTGGCCTACTGCTTACATTTTCTGTTCTTATGCTTCTTTCGTATTTTCACGAACTTTTTCAAGTGACTATTTTCAGTATTAATATATTATGATTTGGGACAATACAGGACACCAGTCTAAAATCAAGTAGCACCAATTACGTCATAATCAAAGGGCCGTAACTCTGGCCTGTTTATAATTAGCTCTGCAAGCAAAAGCCTCGTAATGGCATAAAATTTCAGCACATATTTTGAAGGTTATACTTTCATTGTAAGAAAAATGAGTGTATATTTTCAAACATTGATATTAACTAATAAAAAAATTCACTTTGATTCACTTAAGAATTGAATGTCAGTTTGTGTGTTTGCACTGAAAAATGAACGACGTCAAAGCTCGTAAACTCGCTCGTTCACACGAGAGTTTGAACAACGCTTTGACATCGTTCAGTTTTCAGTGCAAACACACAAACTGATATTCAATTCTTATAATTTCGTACTTTGAAGTTTACATATACGTGTTTTACCCACTTCTACATCATCATTATTTACAGTGATGTGCTGTAATACCTGTGAAATGTTGTAGTGCCATTCTGTTCAAGACCATATTGGAGCGATGTATCTATGTTTGTCGATTTTCTTACACATGTATCCCAACCCTTGAAGAAATAGTTCTCAAAGTATTCCTTAAAATATAGCAACACATTCGTCATTCGGTTTGAAACTGCTTTAATAAGTATAACATCAACAGAATTATCAAACAGAAGCAAATATCAATATTATTTTAACAAACTGTCATTGTACCTTTACGCTTTGACGGATTCGTTTGACCGCGTAATAATACAATGACCGACTTCGAAGTTGTGCGGCGTGGCGAATAGGAAGCAGATCTCGTTGTATTCTATTTATTTTTGATTGATTAGTGTGAAATTTATTAAATAGTTGTTAAATAGACCACGGGGTAGAAAACCGTCAGATGAACCCGCAAACTGCGAGAGATTAAACACTTGTGAAAAGGATAATTTTTTATTTTGTTTACGTCAAGCTGGACAGAGAGTATCCTGGGAAAACCCGACAAGTAGTCGGCTCGAAAACGTTCACACACGTATGAACGATGTTTACACACGTATTAACGGTTTGAATGGGTTCAAGAGAAATGAATCTTGAAATTTAAATCACATGACCGCTCTGTCAACCAACCAACGTTCGGGAATCTGTGTAAACTTCAAAGTACGAAATTATATAAGAATAAATGTGATTTATTCGTGTACACTTCCCCTTTAAGACAGAAGTTTCACAGTGTTATGCTTTCCACTTTTTGCATGGCCCATATTTTGCCTGTCATTATAATACTATGTACATACGGGCCGAATGCCTTATGTACAATAATTATTCTTGATCTTCATCATGAAGTATAAAGATCATTTCCACACTCAATCAATCTGCTATCATTCCAGTTTGTCCCAGTTTCAGCTTAAGGTTTGTCTGAACTATGACAATGGATTTTACAAAGGCGCTGCAAGCGTTGTTTGAAACCAATTCATTCTGCATGCTAAGATAAGAATGTAAGGCAATGTCATAAAGTAGTGATGTCCAGCATATTTCTGTTTTGAAATAACTGAAATATTGCTGGAAGCGACTTATAACGTCAACTACACATTTACACAGGCGAAGAAAAGATCACATTTCTTAGAAGCAAGGGGCATGTCCAACCTTATAGTGTTGGTCTTACAGCAGAATCAATATTATGGTAACTCATCATATCAGATTAATGATCTCCTCCTCCAGCAATGATGACACTGACGTATAAGGTAAACATTCCTGAAGGTGTTACCAAAAGCTATTATCGTAGGTTGGGCTAAAGTACAGTGTCAGTAAATCACAGTGTGTATTTAAACTGAAGGGGACAGTCGGCCATCTTCTCCTGGTACAGCTGATCAAACCACTCGTTCTGAGCGACAGTGAACCAGTTCTTCCAATCACCCACTCCACCTGGGAAGAAAACAGTTTACGTGCAGACATTGTCTCAATACCATCGATTCGCATGTAAAGTTTTACACTATGGACTTCCATCCAGATATGCCATGTGCACTAGTACTGCACAAGCAGGAAGGGAGCGACCACTGATCGTTCTCAACAATGTTATGAAGGAAGGAGATGTTGAGAGGATTTGTTTAATTAATTTTAGGCACGTCTTTACGTAAGTGGCACTTTGCAAAAAGTTATTCTCATGAGCAGCAAATTCTTATTGTCCAGGGGGTTGGCTAAGAAATACATAACATGACCTAAGAAAAGGGTCATAACTCATCCATACCTTTTCTAAAAACTTTGATTCCACTATCGTCCTCCTTGAGAGTCCTCATGGCGGCTTTAGTTGTGTTGTTGCACACTTTGGACAGGAAGTCATCCGTCCTCTTTACATCCAGGAACTCATAAATCCTCCTCATCTCTCGCATCTGATCCTGAACGGACATCAAGTTAAATATTTACATCTCAAACCTCATGTCATTATTCATGATATTACAACCCAGACTGATGCCTAAAGGCGTCATTTCATCTTGTCGTAAGAGGCGACTAACGTGATCGGGTAGTCAGACTCGCCGACTTGGTTGACATATGTCAGTCATTGTATCCCAGTTGCGGAGGTTGATGCTCATGCTGCTGATCACAGGAGTGTCTGGTCTAGACTCGATTATTCACAGACCACCACTGTCGACATATATGTGAATGCGGCGTAAAAGCCAATCATCAACCCATGCACTTGCCTCAGGTGCCACGTGTTGCCCCAATATACCTGCTTAATATACCACGGGTTGCTACATCTCAAACTTCATGTCATTATTTATGATAGTACAACCCAGACTCATCCCTAGAAGCGTCATTTCATCTTGACTTGTTTGTTGCCCCTTGCCCACGTGTTGCCCCCATACACTTGAAACCCGTGATGATCTGGGTTAGAATTGATCTTCAGTAACCCATGTCTGTTGTAAGAGGCGACTAATGTGATCGGGCGGTTAGGCTCCCTGGCTTGGTTGACACATGTCATCATATCTCAGTTGCGGAGATCGATGTTCATGCTGTTGATCACAGGAGTGTCAGGTTTAGACTTGATTATTTACAGACCACCATCATATAGGTATAATATTGCTGAGTGCAGCATTAAATTAAACTCAATCAATCATCAACCTCTGCCCTTGTATAATGTGAGCACGTGTTACCCAAATATACCTGCTTAATATATCCACGTGTTGTCCCCATGTAGCTGCTTGATATCTCCACGTGTTGCCCCCATTTACCTGCTTAATGTATCTACACTCAAAAGCAATTTGTGTTCACTCAATGCCTTTAAGCTGAAATGCTGCTGACTGAAGCATTCATGTAACTTCTGGCAAGAAAACGTCGTGCACCTCACCTCCTTAATGTCTTCATACAAGATAGTCAGCACAGGCAGATCAGGATTGTCTTTTTTCACCTGCTCCCAGTCGAGAACATAGTCCATCCAGGATCCATATGCAACTGTAACAGAAGGAAAGGCCAGGGAAAAATACCTAAAGAAGTCGTCTTTCATCGATGTATTTACAGCAAGAAGATTACAAAGATAAACCTCTTGGAAAACGACTCAGTGTGTCCTTCGACACAGTTCAAAGCGATGTTCATATTCCTCTTCAAACCGATGTAATATACACTCACCCAATCACATATTTACAGATTATCACAGAGATCATCAAAGACATCACCATTCAAAGAGACCGTCAGCAAAATGGAATATTTCACATCACAATACTTGCTACACTCACTCACTTAATACAGGATTACAGAACAGATTTTCTCGAGTGGAAAGATTGATGGAATAATGCTCTTGGGGTAAGGTCGGATTCTACAAGTGCGTTAACATATGTTTAATAGGATATACTCATATCTTTATTCGTGTGGAAATTTTATGTGCATTCAATCACTCGGAAAACAACGAATTATAAGAAAGTCTTTCCAAGAAGGATTATAAGAAATAAGAGCACAGAGGAATATTTAAAGATAAAGGATTACAAGAAGATAACTAGTTATTAGACAAATGCTTAGTCTCTGAATATATATAATTTTGATAGGAACAAACAAGCCCATTTAAATTGAAAAGGAGCCCTAGGGAGACCAGAGATCTAGACTTGCTTTATTTAGGGCTTTAACACTGCAGAGAGAGCTTGGCAGTAGGGAAAATAATGTGGTTCAGGGACAGTGAGACAGACTAACTAGTTATAGATGATCACAGACAGAACGGCACTTACACTTTCCCTGAAAGAAGGGTCGAACATAGTTCTTCCACTCCCCTTTGTAGTTGGCAAATGGAAGCGTTCGGATGACGTTATAGAGTGAAACAGCTACATCTTTTGGATTTCTTAGAACAATGATGACTTTTAGTTTCTTATTACAAACGTCATCTGGCAGATGTTTCATCAGCAAATGAGTGTTGAGGATCCTGGGAGACGAGAGGTCGGCTAACTCCTCCTCTGACGTCCTTTCCATGAAGGTTTGGACCTTTGTGTTGTCGTCGTGGATTATCCCCCCTGCGAGGAGCTCTCTTGTTATTTCAAATACCCAGTGGGTTTCTGGAGAGAAAGCAAACCTGACAAATCACCCACGAATCTGAATCAGTTATCAGGGAAATACAAATCTTTACCATGCATTGCTATCTCTCTCACGGGCTGGACTGTGATGCGACCTAAACAGAAATATATATTCCGTGGCATCAAAATGAACAAAAAGTGAGCAAAACGTTAAGAATGATGGGTGTGAAGTATGGATCAAGGTCTTCTTTTAACACTGAATGTATGTGTTGGCTTGACTGAATTCTGGCAAACTGTTCTTTCTAGAATTCGTGATAGGATCGGCTTGAGTTGTATCGGTGTGTATATGATACGATGGGCTTGAGTGGGATTGCTGTGGGCGTGATGTGGGCTTGTGTGGGATTTGTATGGATGTGATGGGTTGGTATGGTGAGATGACCTTGATTGGGATTGATGTGGATGTGATTCGATTACCATGTGTGGGATTGGTGTGGGTGTGATGTGATGACCCTGTGTGGGATTAGTGTGGGTGTGATGTGATGTCCTTGTGTGGAACTGATGTGGGTGTGACAGTTTGGGCTTGAGTTGGATCGGTGTCATTGTCACAAGATAGGCTTTAGTGACGTTGGTGTGGTTGTGATGAGATGACCTTGTGTGGGATTGATGTGGGTGTGACAGATTGGGCTTGAGCTGGATTGGTGTGAGTGTGAGAGGTTTGGCTTGAGTAATTGTCACAGGATAAGTGAACAGATCTATCCTACCAGATTTGGTAAAAAGTTTCATGGTATCTGATGTTACCTGATTGAGGATATGAGCAAATTAAGATGTCGTCGTCACGGATTCCCACTGAACGTACACCGTCGATGCCGATTCCATCGGGGAAGTTGGGTATTAAGAAGCTGTTGTCACTTAAGAACGTGAGGGTTTCACCGCCGTCGTCCACTGCTTCCACTATCTGTTTCTGATGTGAGAGAAAACCTAGTCATGTGTGAATAATTCAGCTGAAAACATAGGTAGTATTCCTTCTGTTTTACAGTTCCCTGTCATATGTATTTCATGTCGACGTATTGCAAATATATCACCAAGTCCTTGTGATACATTGTGTTTGTGTTGCATTTCCTCACAGAACAGGGCTGCTCGGTTCACAAATAACTATTCACCTACCACTGGAATACTGCTGTATCCGCGTTAAACAAACAAACAAACACAAGCCTTGAAAACAAAATATGTTCATTCCATTTTTAAGAATTCTCTAGATCTGTTCTCCAAAGTAGCTTTGGTTTCAGTCTGTCTCAAAAGACACGATTGATTGTTTGTCATCATCCTGAGATTGCATTGATAGTAGCTGACAATATTAATCAGTCGTCGCCATCATACTGTTGGAATGTTACTGATTGTAAACGTTAACTGAGAATCATGTACAAAATAGCACTATGAATCCCCATTAAATCTCCCAAAGTCCTCTTTAATACAAAGGAACGAAGAGGAACTGGATACAGTCAACACCCACTACAAATAAGTCTCCGAAGGTCAACCTCAGTATTTCACTTATCCGTTTGAACACTAAGTAAACCTCTCGCACACACAAATGGACCCCACTGTATCGTAAGTGAAAATGCATTGGTGGTACAATCTGCTGCTATTTACTTTTCGTCAAATTACAGGCAGGTTACTTTCACCTCAGCAGGTTGGTTGTGCATCTTTTTATTTCCGTGTGATATGTAAACGCCCAAGTTGGTGCTACATTCTATCTGGTTTTGTTTGTTATTGAACGTTACAGTCACCAGTATTTCTGCTGTGTCATCGTAGTCTGAAAATAAAGTTACCAGGCAAGCTGTCTGCAGTGAACGAGGACACAATTGTCGTGATTGGTAGTACGTGACGGGCATCACGTATCTGTTTATTTTGATGGTAAGTTGTTTTTTAGGTGTAAATCAAAACACGTATTCATTCACTGTGTCACAGGGGCCTTAATCTAATTGAGTCTCTGTAACATGAAAGCTATGATCATCGGTTGGTCACACACAACGATATGCTGAGTCATACATACAGTTATACATGTATATTAAGCTCCTACTGAAGAACTTACTTGAGACATGGTTCAAAGTGTCTGCATATATGTCCACAGTATGTCCCGTGATACAAGTGGGAGGGCAGTTCAGTCGAGACCCACAGATCGGGTGACTACCAGGAGAGTTGTCAGCAGTGCACATAGTGAGGGAGGGAGGTACCCAGTCACCGATTTATGCATGTATGAGCTTAACAGTTGACCTACTTGTTTTATCCGTGAGTGACATACATATTTTGCAGATATCGCAAAGCTTAGAGAAAGTATGGAAAGAGATCGCTACATTTTGTAACAGTGATGACTCTCTCTCTCTGTCTCTCTCATTCCCTCGTTACTTTCTCTCTCTTTTTGCCGACGACAAAACGTTTAAAAAAAGAAACGTTGAACAAAAGAGTAACGTTACACTGACATTTGTAGTGAATCGTTACAACGCACACAACATGAAATGCACGTGCATCATGAAATTGTGTATCAGCCCGAGCTGAAGCCTATGACTGTAGGCTTTAAAAAGCCACATCAATGGTACTCCACATGCATTGCTTTAAGCCACTATAGACAACAAGAGAATGTCAAGACTGGCAGAAGCTCAATGACACGACGCCATCGGTCGTTTACAAGGACTGGCGTCGCAGCATGAGGTCGCAAGTCACTTCAGCGTGTCCAGACAGACCATCTCAAAGCTATGGACCTGGTAGAATAATACTGGGAGTGTTAATGATAGACTCAGGTCAGGTCGACCTAGAGTTACCACCGCCGCTCAGAATCGCCACATCTGGTTGAGACATCTTCGTTCACGCACCACAAGCAACCCAAATCCCTGAACAGTTTTGTTCTCAGATGAGTCTTGGTTTCTTCTCAGACGTGCTGATGGACGTTCGCGTGTATACAGACGTAGTAACGAACGTTACGCCGATAACTGTAGTACATGTCACTAGATTTGGTGGTGGAAGTGTGGGCAACTATTCACCATAATGACCGGACAGTTCTTGTGCACATGGCAGGTGCATTGAATGGGGATGAGATTTTGCTAAGTCACGTCGTTGCCTTCATCAACGTCAGCGGGGGATCTTTCCGGCATGACAATGCTCGACCTGACGTTGCACGTGACTTCCTCCAGCAAAACAACGTTCAGGTGTTACCATGGCCTTCTCGATCACCTGATTTGTCCCCATTGAACATCTTTGGGATACTCTTAATCCGCCACCTCAGACACTACAAGAACTGCATGCAGCACTTCAGCAAGAGTATCAAAACATTCCTCAAGGCAGCATTCGGCATCTCCTTTCTCCTATGGGTCACCGCTGCCAAGCTGTTATCGATGCTCATGGTGGTCACACCAGATACTGACATTTTACTCTGACCAAGTGGCTTTAATAGCCCTGTGTGGTTTTACCAAACACGTTCATGTTTTTGGAAAGTTGTAAAGTGATGTTTGTTCTGTAATTAAGCAACGATGTCATGTTTGAATCAGTTACATGCACTCAGTAAATAAACAACAAAACAGCACGACAAGTTTCTTTCTTTTTGAAGAGTATACTTTACTTCCAGTTTGTCCCAGCTGAGGCTTCAGGTTTGTCTGAAATATCGACATGGATTTTACGAAGATGTTGCAAGCATTGCTAAAACCAATTCATTCTGCATGTAAAGATAATCAAGTAATGAAATGTAATACAGTAGTGATGTCCAGGATGTTTCCATCACGGTATACTTTATTGTTAAAAGTGGCTGAAAAGCTCTCCTACATATTTAGGTTGGTGCAGCAAAGATCACGGACACATCTGTTATTTTGTGTCACAATGATGCAAAGATCAAGTCACACATTCCGCCTCATATTATTGGACTTGGAGTAGAATCAGTATAATGGTACTGCTGGCACAGACGTTTAAGGTGCACAATCCTGATGGTGTTCCTATAAGCTATGATCGTAGGTTGAACTAAAGTACAGTGTTAGTAAATCACAGTGTGTATTTAAACTGAAGGGGGCAGTCGGACATCCTTTCCTGGTAGACCTGATCAAACCACTCATTCTGGGCGACAGTGAACCAGTTCTTCCAGTCACCAACTCCACCTGGAAAGAAACAAGTTTACCTGCAGACATTGTCTCATTACAACGGATTCCCATGCCGGGTTTCAAGCCATGGAGCTCCATGGAAATTTTACACCGAATACTTACGTGCAGATATGCCATATGCACTAGTACTGGACCAGCATGAATGTTACGAAGGACAGGAGATGTTGAGGGGATTTGTTTAATCAATCTCTGCATATATGTGGCACTTTGCAAAAGTATTTCTCATGAGCAGCAAAGCCTTATTGTCCAGGGGGTTGGCTAAGAAATACACGGCATGACCTAGGAAAAGGGTCATAACTGATCCATACCTTTTCTAAACACTTTAGCTCCACTAACGTCCTCCTTGAGAGTCCTCATGGCTGCTATTGTTGTGTTGTTGCAGACTTTGGACAGGAAGTCATCCGTCCTCTTTACATCCAGGAACTCACAAATCCTCCTCATCTCTCGCATCTGATCCTGAACGGACATCGAGTTGAATAAATACGTTTCAAACTTCTTGTCATCCTTCGGTACAACCTTAGAAGAGTCATTTCACCTTGATTGATTGTTTTCCTCATATACCTGCTTAATGTGTCCACGTGTTGCCCATATATATTTTCCTTAATGTGTCCACATGTTGCCCATACATATTTTCCTTAATGTGTCCACGTGTTGCCCATATATATTTCCTTAATGTGTCCACGTGTTGCCCATATATTTTCCTTAATGTGTCCATGTGTTGCCCATATATATTTCCTTAATGTGTCCACGTGTTGCCCATATATATATATCCCTTAATGTGTCCATGTGTTGCCCATATATATTTCCTTAATGTGTCCATGTGTTGTCCATATATATATATATCCCTTAATGTGTCCACGTGTTGCCCATATATATTTCCTTAATGTGTCCACGTGTTGCCCATATATATTTCCTTAATGTGTCCACGTGTTGCCCATATATAGTTTCCTTAATGTGTCCATGTGTTGCCCATATATATTTTCCTTAATGTGTCCACGTGTTGCCCATATATATTTCCTTAATGTGTCCACGTGTTGCCCATATATTTTCCTTAATGTGTCCATGTGTTGCCCATATATATTTTCCTTAATGTGTCAACATGTTGCCCATATATATTCCTTAATGTGTCCACGTGTTGCCCATATATATTTTCCTTAATGTCTCAACGTGTTGCCCATATATATTTTCCTTAATGTGTCCACGTGTTGCCCATATATATTTTCCTTAATGTGTCCATGTGTTGCCCATATATATTTTCCTTAATGTGTCAACGTGTTGCCCTGATATACATGAGCTATGCAAGAAAGTGTCGTCCATCTCACCTCCTTAATGTCTTCGTAGAAGAGAGTCAGCACAGGCAGATCAGGATTGTCTTTTTTCACCTGCTCCCAGTCGAGAACATAGTCTATCCAGGATCCATACATAACTGTAACAGATGGAAACACTGAGAAAGGTATACTTAAAGAAGTAATCCTTTAACGATATATTTGTAGTAAGAGGATTACAGGAAGTAGGCTCTTGAAATATGACTCGGTGCTATTGCTCAAACACAGTTCAAAGAGGTGTTAATCAAATATAACTCATTTTCCTATTCAAACCGGTGTAAAATACGCTCACCCATTCACAAAAGGGATTGACAAAGGACGATGAAAGCCCTTGGGATAGGACCAGCGTGTATCTAAAGCATCATTTGAAGAGATTTTCAACAAATCTGAGGGTTTTTTTCACATCATTCACTTACAAAATGCAGGATTACAGGAAGAATGGTCTCAATCGGAAACATTGTGAGAATAAAGCTCTTGGGATAAAACCGGATTCACAAAACACCCTTCAGTCAAATAGAATATACTCATGTCTTTCATTTTCACAACGCAGTTTAAAATTCTTTATAATACACTTATTCCATAACCCCAACAGGGCCCCGTCGGTAGTTTTTGTTTTGCATGCGTTTTTCGTGCTTTTAAGAAGTCTGTGGAAAAAGGCTTAAAACGTGCCCTTAAAAGTGTGGCTCTAAACCTCAACTCATTTTCAGACAAATCATTGTTTAGACGTTGACGGGTGCGAAAAACACAAATTTGGAAGAATCTGTTTGCATTTCTCTATTCCACGGCTAACTTAAAATGAAAGTTGGCGAGCCATTGGAATGCTTGAAATCGGAACACCCAAGCGCAACGTTGCACAGCCGTTTAACGTGCACAGGAACACATGCCGCTTGTGGAGTCGTTATCAACAAAACGTAGTCGTTGCAGACCGTCCCAAAAGTGGCCGCCCACCTGTGACCACGCCACGCAACGATCGTTGGATTCAAGTGAGTGAAAGCGGTAAGATTTTAAGACACATCGGCAATATTTCAACCATATAGTGACTAAATACAAGTTCTTATTTTATAATAAATAAAGGTAAAAAGGTTATCAAAAAACTGTCGGCGAAGGACAGTAAAAACAACTTGAATATCACAAATATGAATATAAAACTAGTATGTAAATCTAAAATATTCTAATTACAGAAGACAGTACAATATAGAAAAAGGTTATATATTGCCAACAACTGAAGGTAGGTACCAGGGTCCATGGGAACTTACAGTACATTTGCTTCCTGCATGGACCCTATCTGGATTTACATCATCCCTTCAGCTATTAGCAATTTTAGATAATCTAGTCATAAATTAAAATAACATATATACTACGATTAATAATAGTAATAAGTTTACATTTACTTTGAATATTTTGGGACTTACGTACCTTCTCAGGAGAACAATAACTTCGCAATACTTCAACCCACTTTGATGGTACATCCACTAACAATATCAGTTACTAATATAAGCAACCAAATCATAAAAAGAAACAAATCTTAAAATCTTTTAAACATTCATAATAAAATGGCAATTAACATCACTAAAAAAATCCTTCAACGGTTTTACATCGATATATTTCCCCCTTGTGATAGAAAAATCAATACAATCAAGCAAGACATCACAAGGGTTTCAAAATGGGTGATCATCTGTGGATACCTGCTGTGACCAATGCGACATCGTCGCATGATGACCTCTTCATATCTGGACTGACAACCCAAGTAGTAACCGATGGTTGGTTTTATCGCATGTAATATATTTATACCTACTTGAGTGTCCCATTTCTTTTGCATCAGACCAAGGATGTTACGATCTAATGTAATCAGTGTGTGAGATCAGGAGTAGTGTCACAGATTTGTTGAGTGCTGCCTTAGCAGCAAAATCGGCCATTGTGTTACCAGAGATTCCCACGTGACTGGGTAACCAACAGAAGACGATGTCGTATTGGCCAGTAGCAAGAACATTATGTAATTCAATTATTTCTATTAAAAGTGGATGTTTGCAAGATAGGGTTTTAATAGCCAGAAGGCACGAAAGAGAGTCTGAAAATATTATATATTGTATATATTTAGGGTGTATACATTTAGGCGCTGTTAATATAACATTTGTATCGGCAGTAAAAATGGAGCAATCGTTTGGTAATCTATAAGATATTCTTTTGGATCCAATTACAGTGTGCCACCATCCTTGGATCCATCTGTAAATAAAAATTTGTATATATTTTAGTTACTTTCAATTGACCAAATTTTATTTATATTGTAATTCATTAGTTTCTGATTTTTTAAACGTTCTCAGTGCTAGGTCAACTTGGTGCCTCAATAATTGCCAAGGAGGGAAAGAAAGAAAGCGGGATGGAGCTATATTTTCTAACTCATTGCCAGCAACAGATACGAAAGGTTTCATTCTTATTCCAAGAGGCGGAACAAGAGAAGACTTCTTGTTGAACAGATCCTCATAAAGAGGATTAAAAACACAATTAAATGCAGGATTAGATTGGTTAGAACGTAGTTTAGTGAGATACTGTAGAGATAGGTTTATATGCCGTTGGTTAAGAGAAGACTCATCAGCTTCGACGTTGAGACTGTCAACAGTGCAAGTTCTAAAAGACCCAAGACAAAGTCTTAGACCTTGGTGGTGGACAGAATCTAATAGTTTTATGTTGCTTTTGCATGTTCCACCATATACGATGGAGCCATAATCAAGTTTCGATATAGGTGTAGGGGGGCAGCTTGATCCCCTCGCCACTTTGAATTAGAATATTTCTTCTTACTTTCAATAGATCTAGTGCCTTCAAGCATTTATTTTGAGATATTTGATATGCGAAAGAAAAGTAAAATGAGAGTCGAAAATCAGAACCAAGAACTTTGCCTCTTTGACAACTTTGATGCAAGTGCCATTTAAAAATAGTTCTGGGTCTTTATGCCGTTCATATTTACGGCAGAAATCTATACAATTAGTTTTCGATTTAGAGAATTTAAAGCCGTTTTCAAGACACCATTGATTCATTTTGTTTAGACACAACTGTAGTATGCATATTTTACCGCGACAAGAAATGTTGAAATCATCCACAAAACGTGATCCATCGATTGAATAATTTAAACCTTTGATAAACTGTTTAGCTTGTTACTAAACAACGTGACAGACAAAATACTGCCTTGTGGTACACCCTATTCCTGATTATGATGATCAGACAGGGTGCAGCCCAAGCGGACTTGAAATTACAATTTAACAAGTTGGATATAGATTGAGGCAAACGGTCCCGCAATTTAAAATACCATGTTTCCATGTAGTGTCGTATGCTTTTTCTAGATCAACAAAAGATCGACACTGCATGTTGTATATTAATCATGGCATTTTTAACAAAAGATTCTAAACGCACTAAATGATCAATTGTACTTCTGTTTCTAGGGAGACCACATTGTATATCAATTAAACGATCGTAGGTTTCCAAATACCAAACGAGTCAATTATTTATCATGCGTTCCAAGGATTTGCAAACGCAGCTAGTTAGTGGAACTGGCCTATAATTAGAAAGATCAGTATGATCCCCTACAGGTCTGGGGATGGGAACAATTATAGCAGCACGCTACGGTGAAGGAACTCTCCAGATGTCCAAATGTCATCAAAAAAATGTGAGAGCGTCTCTAAACATAATTCTGGTAAGTGTTCGAAGAGTTGATAATGTATGTTATCAGCTCCTGTAGCAGTATCATGAGCCTGGTCAAGAGCAGTATGAGTGAGTGAGTCAATGTTTATCGTCACATCAGCAATGTTTCAGCCATATCGTTACGAGAATAATCATTCATCATACTAAAGATCAAGAGCAGTATGAAGCTCATGTATCAAAAAGGTTTCATTGTTATCTCCCCATTATCTGATTTGAAATTAATAGATTTCTTTGCTTGTTGTTTTGATATTTTGGGAATTCAGGAACATAATTAAATGAGGAAGAATGTTTAGCCAACGTCTCACCAAGTTTATTTGCAATATCTGATTTATTAGTCAATAATTGCTTCCCATCTTTCAGATGGTGAATGCTAGATTTACAAGCCTTAACTTTGATTTTCTCGATCGTATTCCATACCTTTGATATCGGCTTGCGCAAATAATTTTTTGATACATGGTTTCGTCAAGATTGGTGTTTATTTTGCTTGAAAGTACGCCGGACTTTAGCGTTTAATATTTTGAATTTGTCTAAGTTGTGGACCATAGGATGGCGACGGTAATAATGCTCTGTTTTTTCCCTTGCCTTCCTAGCCTTCCTAGTGTTCCATAAACAGAATTTTTACCCTTTTAAAAAAATTCATCTTGATGATGGAGGAACATCAGATGGGTTAACAGGTTTTAGTATTGCGGGGAAATGGTCACTGCCACAGAGGTCGTCGTGGACGGACCAATTTCACTCAATAGGTTGGAATCAGTAATTGACAAATCAAGAGCTGAATATGTTCCTGTGCCAGGGTGTAAATATCCGTGCGAACAATCATTATATATGCATAGATCATAGTTTGAATAAACTCTTCCAGTATTTTACCGTTAGCCTTTATAGTTGTACCACCCCAGAATGGGTTGTGGCCATTAAAGTCACCCATAATAAAACAGGGTTTAGCCTGCTGAAGAGCTGAAGATTGTGGAATATAGAGCAGAGAGTAAAAGCAACGTGCAGAGTAAGGCGCACTGCAACGGCTTGAAGATTAGTTTTAAGCACAACGGGGTTTTGGAGCACATCATGCCTTATAAAGATTGAAGCTCCTCCTGTGGCCCTATCACCCGGAGGAGAAAAAAGAATGGGATGCATTGAACTGACGTAAACTGAAATTATCTGTCTGCTTTAGATATGTTTCTTGCAGGCAGAATTCTGATGGACTAATGGCCTGGACCAATGGAAGTAAGTCGTTAAAATTGGTTTTCAGTCCTCGACAATTCCACTGGAAAATATTGTTTTGTAAACTATCTTTCGGGCGGTTTTGTGCTGGTGATTGGTTCTGGGTGAGAGATGATGACTATCTTGAGATAGACTCTGTATGTCAGAGAGTGAATCCGCTGTTTGAGTTGGCTGTTCATTTGAGTAAATTTGAGGTGCTTCGGTGTACACCCAAGTCAAGTCTGTCTGGCAGTCAATAGATGATGTCTTGACTTTGGGGGTTATTTCAGGGGCTATCTGAACGGTAGACACATTGGTTCCCGTGCCTTCTTGAGATTGAACCAGTTCCTTTGCGTCAGAGAGACTGATGTTCTGGAAAATTTAATTTCATTTATCTCCATCTGTTGTTTCCAGATATGACAGTCTTTGGAGTAGGATGGGTGACTCCCTGAACAGTTGGTACACTTTTTAATAGAAGCGACAAAACCCTTTCCACATTTATAAGACATATCTGCTAATAGCAGAGGCGATTGTACAATTGTGTCATGAGCAGATATATGTTTCAGCAGTATTACAACTGTATGATGTTGTTCGTAAACAAATCGAGTCTGAACCAGTCAACCCAGTGACTGTCACCATGTGATACGATGACAGAGTGTTTATGAATCATTATGAAACAGTGATGATACCAGGTGTTCAAGAAAAGGTGAGCGTGTCCTGCCCCACCGGTGGCATCCGTCATAAACATATGCTAAGTTTAGTCATATGTTCGGGAACGTATGGTATAAGTCAAAATAGTGAATTGCATCGAACATCAGTTTGTCACTGATGCATCATTTGTGAAATTTCCTCCACGTGTCTGCCATAAAACTGAGTGAGTGAGCGAGTGAGGGAGTTTAGTTTTACCCCGCACTCAGCAATATTCCAGCTATATAGCGGCGGTCTGTAAATAATCGAGTCTGGACCAAACAATCCAGTGATCAACAGCATGAGCATCGAGCTGTGCAATTGAGAACTGATGACATGTGTCAACCAAATCAGCGAGTCTGACCAACCGATACCGTTAGTCGCCTCTTACGACTACTGAAGATCAATATTCTAACCCGGACCTTCACGGGTACATAAAACTTAGACATGACAGCATGATGTTCTTTGAAATCTTGATAAAAAGAGCACGCTCGATTGTACCTCATAAGTTGTGAAATGTAACACCAAAAGCTTGAGTTGGTGGAATATCGCTGGACATGAAATTGACTATTGGAAAGCTGAAATCATCCCTTTTGTCATACAGGTTTGTGGAGATATCTAAATATGAAACGGTCTCACTTGTCTCCTTAATTCCAAGTTCAGGTGGGTAAATCAGTGGAAGGCAATTGGCTATTTGATGGTTATTGAACGATATTAAATCATCGATGTACCTGAAGCTTAAGTTAAACTTCTCGGCCAAATTACAATGTTTTGATTTTGCCAACCCAAGCAGAAATTCTTATTCATATGTATAAAGAAACAAATAGGCAAGTAGGGTAGCACAGTCGGTGCCCATGGGGATGCCTACTTCTTGGCGAAATTTTTTACCCCTAAATTTCACAAAGATGTAATCAATGAGAAAGTCCAGCAGTTAACATATTGTTTTCTTGGTAAACTTCAAATGACGTTTGCTTTCATTTTGACAAGTTGTCCTGAACCTCTGAAGATAGATATGTAGGTATATCTTTGTTCACCTGGTTTGTTTACAAAAGCCCAATGAATTAAGGGATGAAGTTTTTCCTTAAGTTTGGTATTTGGGATAGTAGTATGTTGTGGCATGCACTATTGTCACAGTCTTCCTTTGTATGAGTTTGCTCACTGCAGTGAACACATGTGACAGATTTTGTACACGAATTTACGCCATGGCCATACTTTTGGCAACTGAAACACCTCAGTGGGTTCGGAATAAAAGGGTCAACTTTGATATTGCAGTAACCTGCTTTAATTATTGCAAATGGGTTCAATTTGAGAGGTTTTTTGTCAAATGACTCAATAACTAGAAATCGCGGCCAATGTTCTACAGATTTTGATGGTCGTTGCTCATCTTCATTATCCAGTGGACGTTTGGGTTTTTAAGGGGTTTGGTAATCCATATTTGTTGGTTATATGGTTTATCATCCGAGCTCCCCAACCACCACGCAGTATCATAAAGACAATGCTAATAACAAGTGGATTTCCTACTTGAGGCACAAAGGATGCCCGGATGATATACTCTAGCAGAAAATAGTAAAAGATGAATTCTTCCACCAGGATGCTCTTCACGGGTGCATCGATGGATTCCAACTACCCATCTGCACCAAAGATTCCAATCAGCCACACTGACAGCCCGAACAGTTCCTGGTCTCAACAGGATATCACTAAGGACCATTTGCCCCCGTCTTGCTGCACACGGAAAACGTGTCAGACGTCCTGCCAGACGACATATTTAGACATTATGTCACCGTCAACGACTGCAGTGGTGCAGAAAACTTCTGCGGTGGCGAGCACGTGTGTGGAGACATGTTCTCTTCACTGACAAGTCCAGATTCATTTTGCACTGCGCTGATGGACGAACCCGAGCTTACCGAGCGTTATGTTACGAACTGTGTCCTTGAGGCCGACTGTGTGGAGTGATGGTTTGAATTGGGGTGGGATAACGAGTGCTGGACGTAGTACACCTTTGGAAATGGAACTTTTCGTGTCTCAGGTAAGGGATGAAATTGTTAATCGAATCGCCATACCGTTTCTAGAGCAGAATGGTCCAGTAATGATCTTCCAACAGGACAACGCCAGACCTCACGTCGCCAGGGTGGTTCAGCAATTCTTGGCGCAGGACAATGTTAACGTCCTTCCCTGACCCGCTAAATCCCCAGATCTGTCCCATATCGAACACTTCTGGTACAAAATGGAGAGGAGATGAGATGTTGGCCAAATCCCCCATTCACGCTTCAGGAACACGGCAAGGTGCTTCCACAGATATGGAATGCCATTCCACAAGACTTCTTGCGACGTTTGATTGGTTCTATGAGGTGCAGGTGTCAATGCTCATGGTGGACATACACGTTATTGGCTGTGTGAATTTCATTTTGACCATTCTCTTACTGTGACCTAATTAGCATGTGTCCGCCAGAAAAGTTTACAATGTGCCTTTTGCAATCATACTGTGGAATGCCTATCTTGCAATATTAATAAAGTCTCATCATAAAAATATCAGTTGTTAATTCACATACCTAACTTCAATTCAAACACAATAACTTTTGCCTTTGAGTATTTGGATTCAATTCCTCGGAAAAGAAAGAATTACAAGAAAGATTTTCCAAGAAGGATTATCAGAAATATGATCACAGAGGAATGATTACAGGAGAAGGAATACAAGAAGAATTTATAGATGATCACAGACAGAACGGTACTTACACTTTCCCTGAAAGTAGGGTCGCACATAGTTCTTCCACTCGCCTTTGTAGTTGAAACCCGGAATCGTTCTCAAGAAGTTATAATAGGAAACAGCTACATCTTTTGGATTTCTTAGAACAGTGATGACTTTTATTTTCTTTTTACGAACGTCATCGGACAGATGTTTCATCAGCAAATGAGTGTTGAGGATCCTTGGAGACGGGAGGTCGGTATACTTCTCCTCTGGCACCATTTCCATGAAGGCTTCGACTTTTGTGATGTGATCGTCGATTATCTCCCCTGCGAGGAGCTCTCTTGTTCTTTCAAATACCCAGTGGGTTCCTGGAAAGAAGGCAAATCTGACAAATCACACACGAATCTGCATCAGTTATCAGTGAAATACAAAGCTTTACCATGTGTTGCTATCTTTCTCACGCGCTGGACTGTGATGCGGCCTGAACAGAAATATATGTTTGATGGCATCAGATTGATAAAAAAAAGTCAGCAAAACGTTTCGCCTGAAGAATATAAACTATGGATTAACGTCTTCTTTTAACACTAAATGTATGTGTTGGCTTGACTAACTTCGTGGTAGGTTGGGCTTGAGTTGGATTGGTGTGAATGTGATCTGATGACCTTGAGTGGGGTTGGTGTTGGTGTGATAAGTTGGGCTTTAGTGGGATTGGTGTGGATGTGATGCGAAGACCTAGAGTGGGATTGGTGTTGGTATGACAGGTTTGGCTTTGAGTTGGATTGATGTGAGTGTGACAGGTTGGGCTTTGAGTTGGATTGGTGTGGGTGTGACAGGTTGGGCAAGAGTTGGATCGGTGTAATTGTCACAAGATAGGCTTTAGAGACTTTGGTGTGGGTGTGGTGTGATGAATTTGAGTATGGCTGGAGTATAGTGTGATCGGATGGGCGTATAAGTGAGGCGATTTAGGTGAGGTATACAACTCTATTATTTGGAACTACACCTCATTGAAACAGCATAACTGTTGGTGTAAATTACGCAGCCCATCGTATAGCTTATATTATGTTGAAAAAAGACTTTGTTGAGTCACGACAATTTTTCAGTTAAGATGTAAATTAGAATTATAAATTGACGACATACCAATTTGCATGCTATTTAAGATTTGAAAAATGATTACAAAAGTTACTTTTACTGACTGAGTTTGGTTTTACGCCGCTTTTAGCAATATTCCAGCAACATCACGGCTGGGGACACCAGACATGGGCTTCACACATTGTACCCATGTGGGGATTCGAACCCGGGTCTTCGGCGTGAGTTACTTTTAAATGAACAGATGTATCCTACCAGATTTGGTAAAGAGTTTCATGGTATCTGATGTTACCTGATTTAGGATACGTGCACATTAAGATGCCATCATCGCGTATTCTCATTGAATGTACACCGTCGATGCCCCAACTCCCAGAAAAGCTGTTTTCCGGGAGAAAGACAATCGGCTAAGAAGACTCAAGGAACAGTGTAACAGTGGCCAAAAAACGAGGTTGCTGTTCCTTGATGCAGTTGGACCCCTCATGATGAAGAACTAAGAACTTTAGTCATTCAAGCTGTGTGATGTTACCTGATTTAGGATACGTGCACATGAGGATGTCATCGTCGCGTATTTTCACTGAACGTACACCGTCGATGCCGGTTCCATCAGGGAAGTTGGGTATGAAGAAGCCGTTGTCACTTAGGAACTTGAGTGTGTCACCGCCGTCGTCCACTGCTTCCACTATCTGTTTCTGATGTGAGAGAGAGTCTAGTGTGAAGAATTCAGCTGAAAACATAGGTAGATTTTCTTTTGTTTTACAGTTCCCTGCCAAATGCATCCCATTTCGATGTATTGCAAATATAGCAGCAAATCCGTGTGATACATTGTGTTTGTGTTGCATAGCCTCAAGTTCAGGACTGCCTGGTCCAGAAATAACTATTCACCTACCACTGGAATACTGCTGTGTCCGCGTTAAACAAACAAACACAAGTCAAACATCATATGTTGCTTTCACTTCAGTTGTTTGTGTATCTTCTCACTTCCGTGTAATATGTGAGCGCCGAGGTTGGTGCTACATTCAGCTGGTTTTGTTTGCTGTTGAACGTTACAGTCTGCACTATTCATTAGGGCTGAGCAATATTACCGGTAAACTGTTAGCTCCCTTTGAATTATCTGCCCTTGATTTCCATAGCAACAAAATGTGCTCTAAAAGTGCCAAATGTACTTTTATTTCTGTTGGTTTCATGTAACATTTTACAAATGGAAATATCTTTATAAGTGGCTCCAAAAGTGTCAAATATTCTACCAAATGCTTAACGTTTTGTAGGTTTGAATGGTTTCATATGTGACATTTTGGAGGAATAAAGTGGCCTCGAATGGACCAAGTTTTTATTTGGATTTATCAGTAGGCCTCCGTCTCTGAGTGACCATTTCAAAATTCACATTATTAGGACTCCATGCCACTATTATTCCGCCGTATTTTGTACCAAGCATAGCTCATAAACTAAAAGACCGCCTCCGTGGTGTAGTGGTTAGAGCGTCCGCCAGGAGAGCGGAAGGTTGCGGGTTCGATCCCCTACCGCCTCATACCAAAACACGTTAAAATATGGTTATCAATAGCAAAGGGCAGATAATTCAAAATTAATTTAAAAATTTCAAAGTCCAGACCAATAATCTCCAAAACTACTGGTCCAAAGACCTAACAATTTCATGTACAGATCCGGAGTCAGAATCCCTACAATTTCAAGTGTAGGACCCATGTAGCTACAAGGCTCCGTTTGGCAGCCATATTGGATTGAAGTTTTTGGCCGTGTTTTTCACCATTTTTCTTGTACTTGTCTTCCAAAATGTGCTGAGCTCGAGCCATTAACTCCAGAGCTTCCAAAATGTCCATACTTTGTGTGCAGGAAATTTCAACGACTTCACGATTTTTTCAAAACCAAACTTATCAGGTGAAACATATTTATTTATATATATTTATATATCGCCAATATCCAGATCACCTGCTGAAAGGTGCTTTGTTTTTCCCTCGATCATTGGATGTCAGTCTCAAACGGCACAATGTATTATCAATCTCAACTCCCTTGGGATCATACAACTCTTGCAGCCACTAGGCGCACCGAGTTAATGTGGCTTTCCCATCCTTACGAGGTACCCATTCACAGCTGTGTGGACTGGGACACGTAGTCACAATATTTTGTCCAAGTTTACTACACGTTGCTGTACCCGCAACTAGGTGTTTTCACGTAAACATGTGGCCACCATCTGGTCATATACCAACGGATTCGTGGGTTCTTTTAAGTGCACAGGGTTGTGTACTGTACACTAGGGGTTGTGACAACACTGAGAGAGTCTGCACGCAAAGTTGACTCCAAGGATTTTACACCCGGTCACAGCTGGGCTCGATCCCCTCACCTCAAGCTCGCTGGATCACTAGCCTGGCGCCTTAGCCAGCTCGCCCACCACCACATGTTATATTTGGGATTACACTTTCTTAGTAAAGTACAGATTTTAGTACTTTAGTCCCATCCGAGGTTCGAACCCACACCCTCAGAGTCAGGCACTTAATCGCCAGCACACAAAGTCAGACGCCTAGACCGCTCTGCCACCGCGGCTTCCACAAAACTGGAAGTCGGACAACTGGTTGTCTAGACTGCGGACTTTGTGTACCCCTCTGATAAGTGTTAATTGGCACGCCTCCCACGGCCGAAAGCTATGAAATATGTGGGTTCGAATCCAGGATGGGACTCAACCCAAACAGTACTAGAATCTGTACGTTACTAAGAAAGTGTAATCCCAAATATAACATATGTTACATTTGATCACTTTCTAAAATGGCAGTGTGTATTTCTTATCAGGTGACACATTTTTAAAAACTGTGTAAAATGCTGTATGGCCCTAATACCTCAGGTCCTCGTGATTCCAGAATACTCATTGATTTGACTGTGGACCCAAGGACAACGGAGCTACGTATACAGGCTGTTAAAGAAGGAACTATTTCTTTTCCGGAACTATTTCGATGGTACATGACCCCGCGATCTCGGCTGTATTTCAGAGATCCGCTCGTGTGTCGAAAACGTGTTCTTTGTTTTGACGATTTCAAGCCATTAAATATACTTTAAACACCTTAACTCTGCAACCAGTCGTCCGATCTCGACCATAATTTGCCCGTGTTTTTAGGCTATTAATGCCCATTACACAATCCAATTTGCACATGGTATCGCTGTTTGTTCTGAAACAATATCCTATGATCTCAGTCACTGGATTGCTAAGTCGGAATTTTACAATCAACTCTGAGACTTATGGATGTGAAAGGTTTTTTTCGCTTCTATTCACAGATTTCCTGTATTTCCCAAACCAGACATTTGACTATTGAAAGGATAATCGTTTGATTGCTAAACTTTCAAAGAAAGAAAAACGGCAAATTGAGGACATTCTAAATGGCTAGTTTAGTTCTTTGTGGGTAAATCCAATGTTTTTTGTTATTTTTGTTTGTTTCCTAATGGGTCATATGTTATCAATTTATCACAAAGGCCTGAGTCATATATATTTTGTGTGACTGTATAATGACATTCTAGTCAAGGGTCTTAATTATTGGAGGTCACGTGAGATGTTAAGCTTAAGTAGTTAAATCATGTTTTTGCTTCATTTTGCAATAGTTCATGTTTACACATGTTAATACACAATGGGGACGGGGGGCCTGAAAGTATGGTGTAAGAGCTACTAAGAAGATGATGTCGCGCAGAGAGAGCTATTATGAATTTACGATGTACACACTTGATCAGAAAGCTTTCAGTTAATATATCACAATATGTATTGTACTATCTTTTAAATTATTGCAATATATCGCAATGTGAGAATCAGGGCAATAGTCAGCCCTAGTATTCAAGCTGTTGTAACGTAATCTGTAAGTAGAGCTACCGGACAAGCTATCTGCAGTGGATGGGGTCACAGTTATCATGATTGGTATTTCGTGACTATTTTCACCTATCAGTTTGTTAGTTAGGTTGGTAATATGTACTATTCATTCTTTATGTGTAAAACCTTCAGGTTAAAACGGATTACATCCTATTTCACTGTGTCACAGGGACCTGAATACAGTCGACTCTCACATTAAACTGAACGATATGACCTCTGTGCGCCAGGTCACACACGATATGCTGAGCCATTCATACAGTCATATAGTAAAGTTAACCTGAAGAACTTACTTGAGACATGGTTCGAAGTGACCGCAAACAGATCTGCAGAATGTCCAGTGATACAAGTGAGGTGACACTTGGGTCCAGACACAAAAATCGAATTGCTGGGTGGGAGGCGCCCAGTCACGATAACTGTATGAACATGTGTTCCCTGATTGACCTACACGAGTTATCTGTGAGTGACATACATATTGTACAGCGGGAAACGGGAGATGAGGATGCGGGTGAAGAAAGGAGACTGTTTGCTCTCTCTCTTTCTCTCTCTGAAATGTCTCCAGAAAAAGTCCCAACATGTCTTTTGAAAGTCTGATTAAGACAGCATAAGAATATCCCTAATTTGTCAATGAATATATTTCATATTTTTACTATATTCAACTCCATAATTCTAATCTGGAATATTATGGCTTTTCAAATGGATGTGACAGCCAGCCCTGGGATACAGCCCATTATGGCTGTGATCAGGGTATTTCTACATATCCTTATTTAGGCCAAATTTGCCACATTGCACATCTCCCATGTTTGTTGGCCCTACCTGTGTTCGCTGCTCATGTTTACCATGTCAAAAGCGCACTACAAATTGAAAATGATCTTTTGGCTGTATTAAGAATGCATTATTACTTACTTATTACGAAAGCTCTGGATCAACAGCCACTACTTATGTAACCTAACCTGATCCACTGCAGTAGCAATAAGTTTTTCCCTTCAGAGACAACAACAGAATTTGAAATTAGCCATCGGCAGTCTGATTTCTATGGTATGAGAAAGAAAACATTCCTTAAATGCATTATTTGTAATAAAAACGCAAACAGTATAAAACGTTAGCAACAAAGTCCTGTATTTATTTAACACAATGTGGTGCGGTGGCCATTTGATGATGGCTGATCAAGGACAAGCATAGGTCACCCGGTACTTATCTAATACAGGCCGAAAGTCTAAATAAGCAATACTTCTGTTTACATACAAACACACGTGTGTGCACAAAGCAAAGGGAAAACATTTCCCAACGTGTCATGTCAATATCTCTCATACAACTTGTTCATCTGTCACGGGGTAGCCTAGTGGTTAAAGTATTCGTTCGTCACGCCGAAGATCCGGGTTCGATTCCCCACATGGGTACAATGTGTGAAGCCCATTTCTGGTGTCCCCTGTCGTGATATTGCTGGAATATAGCTAAGAGCGGCGTGAAACCACACTCACTCACTCATCTGTCACAGATTTAACAGATTCAACCAACATGTAAGTAATCTCTTAAGACCTGCATCATGTTCGGCTTTTCTACCACATTAGGCTAATACGCCATGATACAACTGGACTACTCTCGTTGTTTCAACTGAAACTCCTCACAAAATCTTCTCTTCCCCCTACATCATTCTATCCGTTATGACCACCTCTGTACATTACGCTGTAATGGGTGCAAAGTTGAGGAATATAAAGTCACACAGCGAGGAGCACCAGGAATGAGCATCACACATTGCACCCATGTGGGGAATCGAACCCGGGTGTTCGGCGTGACGAGCGGACGCTTTCACCTTTAGGCTTCCCCACCGCCCCCTTTACATGTTTGAGCTTTATATAGCTCGCACTTATTTTACTGTAATTCTAGTTTGTCACAGGGGAGGATTGAGGTTTGTCAAAAGTAATTATGCAATTATTGTTAAAAGTGCTGTCCTACATATCTAATCTGGTGCAGCAAAGATCAAGGACACATCTGTTTCTTTGAGTCACAATGAAGCAAAGGTCAAGGCTATATTCAGCCTCATATTATTGGACTTGGAGTAGAATCAATGTAATGGTAACTCATCATATCAGATTAATGATTTCCTCCTCCAGCACTGTAGGCACTGACGTAAAAGGTGCACAGTCCTGAATGTGGGTAGCTATGATCGTATTAGGGCTCAAGTACAGTCTCGGTAAATCACAGAGTGTATTTAAACTGAAGAGGGCAGTCGGCCATCTTCTCCTGGTAGAGCTGATCCCACCACTCGTTCTGGGCGACAGTGAACCAGTTCTTCCAGTCACCAACTCCACCTGGAAAGGAATGTTGTTTAGGTTGGACTTTCACATAAAAACAAAGTCCTACACGTGACTTATAAGCCCTTGACCTGTATCAGACTTTTATCAGACCTGGAAACAAACAAGTTTCCGTGCAGACATTGACATAATACCCTGGACTCGCATGTCTACCTTTAAGTCATGGAGTTACACGTAAGGTTTTACACCTTGGTCTTATATGCAGCATTTGAACCCACTGGCCTACATCAGACCTTTACATAACCTGTGGAGTTACATGCAAACGTTTAAGCCATATGTACCAGTACTGCACTTGCACCGAACGAAACACGTTTACGTACAAACACTGACATAATACCATGGACTCATGGTTTTAAGCCATGGGGCTCCGTGTAAAGTTTTACTCCTTGGACTTCCATGCAGATGTTGAAGCCATATGCACTACTACTGCACAAGCACGAATGGAACGAGCACTGATCCTTCTCCAGAATTATAAACAGAAATGGAGATGTTGAGAGAATTTGTTTTATCGGTCTCAGACACGTACGTCTTCATGTATGTAGAACTTTGCAAAAAGTGTTTTTCATGAGCAGCAAAGCCTTATTATCCAGGGTGATCTGCTAATAAATACATGACATAAACTAAGAAAAGGGTCATAACTCATCCATACCTTTTCCCCATGGTCCCTGGTATGGTGATCTACCTTCAGTTATTGGCGATTCATAGCCCATTTTTATACTGTATTGTTTTTCCCCTATAGTTAAAACGTTTTAGATTTAATTACTAGTTTTACATACATATCTGTGATATTCTAGTTGTTTTACTGTCCTACGTCGGCAGGTTTTTTATAATATACATATACTTCATTTCAATATCAAATGTTCTTGTCACGATATGGCTGAAATATTGCCGATGTGACGTTAAATATTAACTCACTCACTCACTCACTCCATACCTTTTCTAAACACTTTGATTTTACTATCGTCCTTCTTCTTGCGAGTGCTCATGGATGCAATAGTTGTGTTGTCGCGTACTTTGGACAGGAAATCATCCGTCCTCTTTACATCCAGGAACTCACAAATCCTCCTCATCTCTCGCATCTGATCCTGAACGGACATCGATTTGAATATTTACATCTCAAACTTCTTGTCATTATTTACATGACATTTGTCATTTGATTTTGAATTGTTTGTGGCCCCGAGATACCTGCTCAATGTGTCCATGAGTTGTCCCCTTACATTTGCTTAATGTGTGCACATGTTGCCCCCATATATCTGCTTCAAATATCCACGTGTTTCCCCCATTTACCTGCTTGATATCGCCACATGTTGCCCGGATATATCTGCTTAATATGTCCAGGCGTTGTGTTGCCCGGATATATCTGCTTAATATGTCCAGGCGTTGTGTTGCCCGGATATATCTGCCTAATATGCCCAGGTGTTGCCCGTATATATCTGCTTAATATGTTCAGCAGTTGTGTTGCCCGGATATATCTGCTTAATATGTCCAGGAGTTGTGTTGCCCGGATATATCTGCTAAATATGTCCACGCTTTGCCCCGACATACTTGCTTGATGTATCCACGCCCTAAAACAATGTATGCTTTTTAAGCTGAAATGCTGCTGACTGAAGCATTCAGCAAGAAAGTGTCGTGCACCTCACCTCCTTAATGTCTTCGTAGAAGAGAGTCAGCACAGGCAGGTCAGGATTGTCTTTTTTCACTTGCTCCCAGTCGAGAACATAGTCCATCCAGGATCCATACATATCTGTAACAGAAGGAAAGACTAAGGAAAGAATACCTAAAGAAATCATCTTTCAATGATGTATTTATAGCAAGAAGATTATAGGAAGAAAGCTCTTGGAATACGACTAAGCACTATTACCGCAAAACGGTTCAAAGTGGTATTAATATTCCTCTTCAAACCGATGTAATATACGCTCAGTCGCTCACAAATTTAAAGAGATCATCAAATAAATCACCATTCATAGAGATCGTCAACAAAATTGAATATTTCACAACTCTATTCAAACTATACTTGCTACACTCACTCACAAAATGCAGGATTCCAGGAAGTATTATCTCAATCGGAAATATTGTAGGAATAATGCTCTTGGTGTAAGACCGGATCCTACAAATACATCACCCTTCAGTGCGTTAACACATGTAAAATAGAATATACTCATATCTTTATACTTGTGGAAATATGATGTGCGTTCTGCAACTCGGAAAACAAAGAATTACAAGAAACAAGAGAAGGATTATAAGAAAAATCACAGAGAAATATTTACAGGTAAAGGATTACAAGAAGATAACTATTTATAGATGACCACAGACAGAACGGTACTTACACTTTCCCTGAGAGAAGGGTCGCACATAGTTCTTCCACTCCCCTTTGAAGTTGGAATATGGAAGCGTTCTCATGAAGTTATAGTAGGAAACAGCTACATCTTTTGGATTTCTTAGAACATAGATGACTTTTATTTTCTTATTACGAACGTCATCTGGCAGATGTTTCATCAGCAAATGGGAGTTGAGAAACCTGGGAGACGGGAGGTCGGCATACGTGTCCTCTCGCACCATTTCCATGAAGCCTTGGATCTTTGTGACGTTATCGTCAATTATCTTCCCTGCGAGGAGCTCTCTTGCTATTTCAAAGACCCAGTGGGTTCCTAGAGAGAGGGGCAATCCTTTATGATATGGGCCGGTTTGGAACCTACGAATCTGTATCAATTATCAGGGAAATACAAAGCTTTATTACCCCAGTGGTAATCGTATGGGTAGTTGCATACTGATCTCGTACGTCACACGAGTGTCGCATCGTGTTGACCTATGTAGTAACGACTTGACCTGAGATTCTATCATTTCATTGGATAACCGATGACCTCTCATTTAGGTCACGTTGTGACGGAACTACTTTTTCATTCATAACAAACACGTGAATTCATTCATTCTACAACAAATATGCATTGTGGGATTGTAAACATTGCGAACGTTGCCATATCGCTGTTTAATTGTGAGTCGAACTGAGACAGTATATCCGTCGAAAAACATAAACGCAATGTTTAGCTGAGTTCTGAGTGAGACTTAAGTAGGATTGGTGTGGGTGTGATAGGATGGGCTTGAGTAGGATTTGTGTGGGATGTGATAGGATGGGCTTGAGTAGGACTGATGTGGGTCGTGATAGGATGGGCTTGAGTAGGATTAGTGTGGATGTGATAGGATGGGCTTGAGTTGGATTGGTGTGGGTGTGATAGGATGGGCTTGAGTGGTATTTGTGTTGGGTGTGATAGGATGGGCTTGAGTAGGATTGATGTGGATCGAGATAGGATGGACTTGAGTAGGATTGGTGTAGGGTGTGATAGGATGGACTTGAGTAGGATTGGTGTGGGTGTGATAGGATGGGCTTGAGTAGGATTTGTGTGGGATGTGATAGGATGGGCTTGAGTAGGACTGATGTGGGTCGTGATAGGATGGGCTTGAGTAGGATTAGTGTGGATGTGATAGGATGGGCTTGAGTTGGATTGGTGTGGGTGTGATAGGATGGGCTTGAGTGGTATTTGTGTTGGGTGTGATAGGATGGGCTTGAGTAGGATTGATGTGGATCGTGATAGGATGGACTTGAGTAGGATTGATGTGGGGTGTGATAGGATGGGCTTGAGTAGGATTTGTGTGGGGTGTGATAGGATGGGCTTAAGTAGGATTGGTGTGGATCGTGATAGGATGGACTTGAGTAGGATTGGTGTAGGTCGTGATAGGATGGACTTGAGTAGGATTGGTGTAGGTCGTGATAGGATGGACTTGAGAAGGATTGGTGGAGGTCGTGATAGGATGGACTTGAGTAGGATTTGTGTGGGGTGTGATAGGATGGGCTTGAGTAGGATTGGTGTAGGGTTTGATAGGATGGACTTGAGTAGGATTGATGTGGATCGTGATAGGATCGGCTTGAGTAGGATTGATGTGATCGTGATAGGATGGACTTGGAGTAGGATTGGTGTGGGGTGTGATAGATGCACTGAGTAGGATTTAGTGTGGTGTGATGAGGGATTCTTGAGTAGGATTGTGATCGTGATAGATGGCCTTGAGTAGGATTGAGGGAGGTCAGATAGATGGACTTGAGTAGATTGGTGGATCGTGATAGGATGGACTTGAGAGGATTGTAGGGTGTGATAGGATGGGCCCACACAAATCCTACTCAAGTCCATCCTATCACGACCTACACCAATCCTACTCAAGCCCATCCTATCACGATCCACACCAATCCTACTCAAGCCCATCCTATCACACCCCACACAAATACCACTCAAGCCCATCCTATCACACCCCACACAAATACCACTCAAGCCCATCCTATCACACCCCACACAAATCCTACTCAAGTCCATCCTATCACACCCTACACCAATCCTACTCAAGTCCATCCTATCACGACCCACACCAATCCTACTCAAGCCCATCCTATCACATCCCACACAAATCCTACTCAAGCCCATCCTATCACGACCTACACCAATCCTACTCAAGCCCATCCTATCACGATCCACACAAATCCTACTCAAGTCCATCCTATCACACCCCACACAAATCGTACTCAAGTCCATCCTATCACACCCTATACCAATCCTACTCAAGCCCATCCTATCACACCCCACACAAATACCACTCAAGTCCATCCTATCACACCCCACACAAATACCACTCAAGCCCATCCTATCACACCCCACGGAAATACCACTCAAGCCCATCCTATCACACCCCACACAAATCCTACTCAAGTCCATCCTATCACGACCAACACCAATCCTACTCAAGTCCATCCTATCACACCCTACACCAATCCTACTCAAGTCCACCCTATCACGATCCACATCAATCCTACTCAAGCCCATCCTATCACACCCCTCACCAATCCTACTCAAGCACATCCTATCACACCCCACACAAATCCTACTCAAGCCCATCCTATCACGATCCACATCAATCCTACTAAGCCCATCCTATCACGATCCACACCAATCCTACTCAAGCCCATCCTATCACGACTCCACACCAATCCTACTCAAGCCCATCCTATCACACACTCCTACACTAATCCTACTCAAGTCCATCCTATCATGACCAACACCAATCCTACTCTAAGTCCATCCTATCACACTCCTACACCAATCCTACTCAAGTCCATCCTATCACGATCCACATCAATCCTACTCAAGCTTCCATCCTATCACACCCCTACACAAATCCTACTTCAAGTCCATCCTATCACGACTCTACACTAATTCTACTTCAAGTCCATCCTATCACGATCCACACCCAATCTTACTTCAAGTCCATCCTATCACACCCCACACACAAATCCTACTTAAGTCCATCCTATCAATGACCTACACTAATCCTACTCAAGCCCATCCTATCACGATCCACACTAATCCTACTCAAGCCCATCCTATCACGATCCACACCAATCCTACTTCAAGCCCATCCTATCACACCCCACACACAAATACCACTCAAGCTCCATCCTATCACACCCCACACAAATACCACTCAAGCCCATTCTATCACACCCTACACAAATCCTACTCAAGTCCATCCTATCACACCCTACACCAATCCTACTAAGTCCATCCTATCACGACCCACACTAATCCTACTCAAGCCCATCCTATCACATCCCACATAAATCCTACTAAGCCTCCATCCTATCACGACCTACACCTAATCCTACTCAAGCCCATCCTATCACGATCCACACAAATCCTACTCAAGTCCATCCTATCACACCCCACACAAATCGTACTCAAGTCCATCCTATCACACCCTATACCAATCCTACTCAAGCCCATCCTATCACACCCCACACAAATACCACTCAAGCCCATCCTATCACACCCCACACAAATACCACTCAAGCCCATCCTATCACACCCCACGGAAATACCACTCAAGCCCATCCTATCACACCCCACACAAATCCTACTCAAGTCCATCCTATCACGACCAACACCAATCCTACTCAAGTCCATCCTATCACACCCTACACCAATCCTACTCAAGTCCACCCTATCACGATCCACATCAATCCTACTCAAGCCCATCCTATCACACCCCACATAAATCCTACTCAAGTCCATCCTATCACGACCCACACCAATCCTACTCAAGTCCATCCTATCACGATCCACACCAATCCTACTCAAGTCCATCCTATCACACCCCACACAAATCATACTCAAGTCCATCCTATCACGACCTACACCAACCCTACTCAAGCCCATCCTATCACGATCCACACCAATCCTACTCAAGTCCATCCTATCACACCCTACACAAATACCACTCAAGCCCATCCTATCACACCCTACACCAATCCTACTCAAGCACATCCTATCACACCCCACACAAATCCTACTCAAGCCCATCCTATCACGATCCACATCAATCCTACTCAAGCCCATCCTATCACGATCCACACCAATCCTACTCAAGCCCATCCTATCACGACCCACACCAATCCTACTTAAGCCCATCCTATCACACCCCACACCAATCCTACTCAAGTCCATCCTATCACGACCTACACCAATCCTACTCAAGCCCATCCTATCACACCCACACAAATCCTACTCAAGTCCATCCTATCACGACCTACACCAATCCTACTCAAGTCCATCCTATCACGATCTACACCAATCCTACTCAAGCCCATCCTATCACACCCCACACAAATACCACTCAAGCCCATCCTATCACAACCCACACAAATACCACTCAAGCCCATCCTATCACACCCCACACAAATCCTACTCAAGTCCATCCTATCACACCCCTACACCAATCCTACTCAAGTCCATCCTATCACGATCCACACCAATCCTACTCAAGCCCATCCTATCACACCCCACACAAATACCACTCAAGCCCATCCTATCACACCCCACACAAATACCACTCAAGCCCATCCTATCACACCCCACACAAATCCTACTCAAGCCCATCCTATCACACCCCACACCAATCCTACTCAAGTCCATCCTATCACGACCAACACCAATCCTACTCAAGTCCATCCTATCACACCCTACACCAATCCTACTCAAGTCCATCCTATCACGATCCACATCAATCCTACTCAAGCCCATCCTATCACACCCCACACAAATCCTACTCAAGTCCATCCTATCACGACCTACACCAATCCTACTCAAGTCCATCCTATCACGATCCACACCAATCCTACTCAAGTCCATCCTATCACACCCCACACAAATCCTACTCAAGTCCATCCTATCACGACCTACACCAATCCTACTCAAGCCCATCCTATCACGATCCACACCAATCCTACTCAAGCCCATCCTATCACACCCCACACAAATACCACTCAAGCCCATCCTATCACGATCCACACACAAATACCACTCAAGCCCATCCTATCACACCCCACACAAATCCTACTCAAGTCCATTCTATCACACCCTACACCAATCCTACTCAAGTCCATCCTATCACGACTCCACACCAATCCTACTCAAGCCCATCCTATCACATCCCACACAAATCCTACTCAAGCCCATCCTATCACGACCTACACCAATCCTACTCAAGCCCATCCTATCACGATCCACACAAATCCTACTCAAGTCCATCCTATCACACCCCACACAAATCGTACTCAAGTCCATCCTATCACACCCTTTACCAA